TCCCCTTTGTTAATTGTCGGCTTAAAATACGTCCGTTATTTTTCTGTCTGTCTCATTTGCACGGAAGAAAGTCTTTGCGTAACCTCGTGATAGTTCTTACTTCATAGATAACAGTTTCTGAAAGCAAAAAAGCGAGCGTACAAAAGAAGATTACAGCACATTTATTTCATACCTTGTCAATTAATCAAATCATCTTGCGGAGAAACACTATATGTTGTATTTTTTCATAACATTTCTAAACATTGAATGGTAAAATGTGAAGGTTGAAAAGAGGAACGCTACACAGCTATGTGTATGGCAATGGGAGGGGGGTGGCCTGTTCTTTCCACCTAAGCAGCTTGAGGAGGGGAGGTGAGGGGAGGGGCACGTCGACCCACTGAAAGAAAGCGAATTGTCCTAAAACTGCTCATTTTAAAATGTTAATGAGTGTTCGAGCTTACGCTTATAAAAGTCAATAAATCGATTAACAGTTTGACTTCAGGAATTGATTGTTATGTACCTTTTCCTTGGGATTCCAGTATGATATCTTGCAAACAGTAAATAAGAACAGATAAGCTTATCGGCCTAATGATGTTATCTTAATATGACACCAAGTTCTCTGATTGAATTTACAAGGAAATGTATAACTGTCTTCTGGGAGAATTACCAACTGGATCTTGAGAGTCGTGAAATATTTAATTAATCTTATATGTTGGCTCCTCACGATTTCAGGTTCAAAAAGTGAAAACGGTAAAGACATCGCCAGATCACTGATCATCGTCTCAGCTAAGGCACTTAGTGATCTCACTGATTTCGCTGATAAATTAATCTTATTGTCCTTATTTTATCATGCGTGTTTACTTGAGAAGGTACGTAACATTGAGACTGAAATTATCGTCTAACCTAGACTTGACGCGTCAGTGTCTTTTCTGTTCCTGACTGGAAATTCGTTTGGACAAAAAGTAAATTGGAAGAGATGCTTATGTTGGCAAGCTATGGAAGTCTTCATTAACAACGTGATTTTTGAGCCGTATTTGGTGAGAGTGTGTTAGGTTATCATTCAATATTCAGAGTTGAGCTGCATTTAACGGTCAAGATTAGAAACAAGATGTCAGTTTTGAATTAGTGGCATTAACGATTTATGGCAGTGATTCACTTTTCTAAAGGCTGGTCAAATGTTGCAAATTTTTACTAAATTTTGGATTATCAGGGAATAAAAATAAAAATACCTCTGCTAATAAAGGGTACATTGAGCGGTGATCTACACAAAAGTAAGCAAGATCAGAGCTAAATATATAAGGTGACATTTTCCTAGAACAGTCTTTCCGTTTACTCTGTAGTCTATACTGAGACAAAAGCTGTCTTTCTTATTCCTGAGCTCGGTCTGTGCACAGTAACCGTTATTTCTTATTATTTTCGTCCTCTAAGATTTTTTCTCTCGTCCATAATTGACCGAGCCATGAATGCCATAAACCAGAGGAACAACAAAGAAAAGATCTGAAAAGTGATGGAAATTTTTGTGTGGTACAGACAGTAACAATCCTTTGTGTGAGAAATCAACGATGAAGACTGCCTACCCTGAGCTCATTTTGGCCTTAATGATTTTATCGGTGACATCACGCTCAACTTATAAACACCATCGACGTGAATTACAAGGTTAGAAGAAATTCATTTCGCAGAATTTCCTACTTGCGTTGCTGAGAATTCCGCACATGCTGGTTCAGTAATCTTGGACTGTATACTTTCTCTTGATTCAGGCTTTATTGACGACAATTCAGCATTACACGTTCCGTTCTGCGATCTATCTACTCTATTACACTATAACCTTAGGGTTACAAAAATGTTACATTTATTAGCTGAGGAAATCCCACACCCAGATGCGTAGTTCCGTGTGGGATTCAAGATTCACTCACGTTCTACAACGATCCGTAGGCACTAATTTTCTATTAAACATAGCTTTACTTGACAATCATGCTGCTAAGTTCCTACGCGCTTAAACGCCCTGCAAGTACCTAATTTCATACATCACCGCTGGCTGAACTAATTTGATTATTCTATGCCGCTCCCAATTACATGTCACTTCTAATTGTAATATTGACTCCGTGCTCTAACGGTAACGAAATTACAACTCAGTGAATACACAATAAAATTCATAATAAATCTAGGAAGTCAAATCCAAGCGTAAGACAAAATTCACCATTTTACGACCTTGTCTTCGACAAACAATTTGTAAGTTTTGGCCTATCAACTCAGTTAAGCCAAGTCTAACACGGGTGGGGAAAGCGGAAAACGGAGAATAGAGAGCTAGGACAGAAACGAACGCAAAATGAAGTCGTTGCCGCCAAAAATCATTTTGACGTTATTCGTTATAAATTTTTTTTCAACCGTCGCATTTTCACTAAGTTGTTTGTTTTCACGTGCATTACTTCCACGATATTCTGTTACCTTTTTTTTTTTTTTTTTTTTTTTTGCACAATTTCTCTATGTTTGTATTATCCGTATAAGTTCTTTACCGTAAACTTTATTCATTCGGATTTATCGTTTATCTGTGCTGAATCATTTTTTTCTCAATCGCTTTAAATCATTTTATATCGTTTTATGCCAGCCATTTTCTCCGGATCTCGTACAACGTTTGTTAGTGTCTTTTGTTGTCATTTTCATCTGTTTTCCCGTTTGCCAACTTCTTTACGTTTAATTTTAGTAACTTATTATTTGCAATTTTAATTCTTCAGTTCGTTTCGTTTTGTTTTGAAGTATATTAAACAGCGTGTTTCGTTTGGACATGTACGAGTATTTTTGGCCATCATAGAAGGATATTTTTTCCTTTTCCTTTTTTTTTTTAATATCATTAAAAATATCTCCATTATCTTTATCATACTTACATCTTACAATTCAATGAAGTACCAGAAAAGAAAAATAGGTAGTTATGTTCTTTACTACAATTTGCAAAAACGTCGCGTTAAATCCTACGATAGTGTTATACCTAAACCTTTTCACGGCCAAGCGGTTGTATGAGATTAATCATACAAAATCTGGGGAAGAAAAGTAAAAGACATCTGTAAGTTACATACTTCTTGTCAATTGAAGGTTTCCATTGATAGTACGTTCAACTTAGTAAGTCCTCGTTGATACGGCTTTTCTATTTCAGCTTCGTTAAGCTGCACCATTTTGATTTTAGTATATATGATATATACTAAAATAAATAGGTTCTTCATATCTATTACAACAGTATATACAGTGTTTCGCAAGTAGTAAAAGGTGCGTGAGGCGGTCGTTATTACTGATACTATACATGAGATTTGCCTGCTTGGCTGCCAAGCCTTTGAACAGGAGTGAGGCTAAGGTTGACCATTTTATGGTACAAACGTTGCTGATTTTCAAATGCAAATTTCTTTTTTTATCATGCTAACTAGATACTGGTCTCTATCTCAACAAGGTCACTTTCAGCCTCACTCCAAATCAAAGGTCTATTCCAATTTATTGCTGTAGGAGTCTTAAACCCATCCAGAGAGATTTCCTAGAACTCTGATACCACCGGATATGAATCTAGTACATGCTTTAGATCTTGTATTTTTTTTTATGAGCGTAAATAACAAAGATCGCCGCCCGCAAGTTTAGCTTTAAATAATTTGCTTGTAGTAAAAAATAAATCCTGCGAAGTTTTGTATTGGAACATAGTTAATTTGTTTCTGTAGTGATGGAGAAGGTAAGTTGAAGTATTTTCTTCTTGGTGTCAATTTTAAGATCGTAGAAGAAGATGAGAAACCAAAAAGAGAGGTCGGAAAATAATGAACGAGAAACGAGTATCGGTGGATGAGAAGCAATAAAGAGGGTTCGAGCAGAAAAGAGAAAACTGGGAACGCAAAACGGTAAAGCGGGAAATTACAAAGTAAAAATCGGGGAAAATGCACAGGAAAACGAAGAATAGTCGATGGAGACGTAGAATAAAAGAACGAAAATGGCCATCAAAAGGGAATTTCTTCGTCCAGACGTTTGTAATGGAATATTTTAATTTGCTTTTATTTTCAGAGAATAAAGACACATTTTGAATTTTTGGAAAATTAATTAGAAAAGTGAATCACTTACACTAGCCATTTTGATGCATAAAAACTTTTCAACACTTTTCCTATTGGGTCCTCAGACACTTTGCTTTCAAGGTTAAGGAGGGTGGCATGGAAAAAGAAACAGCACGCGACGAAGGGGCGCAATTATGTGATAAAACCTTGATAACGCCACGATGGCCATCATCTACTGTGTTTTTACTTGAGCATACGGTCTGGATATCGCTTCAGTCAGAACCCGCAAATCAGCCAAAAACTACAAATTGTCAGTTCAAAAGCATCCAGAGTCCATCCCTCTTGATTTGTTAGTGTCTTATTGTCTTGATTTTGACATGATTCCGACTTGATGCTCGTAACACACCTGAGACATCTTATCTGGTAGCGATGTAACCTTCGTGGTCGACTGAATTTCGAAGGATAAGCTTCTGTGGGAGAATTTCTTCGAGAGAAGGCATTAAAAATTAACTAAGGCCTTGAGATGAACTTTTTTTAGCTACTTCTGATAAACCTCTTCTCGTACAAGCACACATTTATGGTCATGTATATCCTCGTTAAATATGTGATGAAGAATTTTAGAGATCGATTGAAACATGTTGACTTACGGTAGTATAAGTCGCAAAGAGAGAGTTTGATCCTCAGTGAAAGAAAACTGATTATTTCCCAATTACACATGAAAAACCCTTTAAAAAATAAGAAATTATCAGAAATGTAAAAACCACAACACTAAAAATGGGTGTACGCAACTCAACACTACATTATATCATCAAATTAAGAGAGAAAAAAAAATACAGTTGTTTTATTTTTTTTCCTCCTAGCTAAAAGCGAGTTATTGTAGCATCTTTGGTACAAGAGACCAATTTGGTTACAAGTTATAATTATATATTGTAGATATATAAATATTTTCGTAATTCATGCAATAATTCTATTATCTCCTTACAATAATTGAGTTTTATGCATGCATTGTGTTTTCAATTTTTCATAGCAGGGCCCCCCTTGTTGGTAATTTATTATCTGTACAGTCTGTTCAGCATGTTTTTGTTTTTCACCGAGGGTTGTATTTTTCTTGAAAATTCACAGTTCTATTGTTGTCCACAGCTTTGTAATCTTTGTTGTAGTCGTGGACTTAGAAAGAAGAAGGACAAAGCCTCTAACAAAACCAGTAACGCAAAACGTTTGTTGGACGTTTACACGCAGAATATGACATTTATTTAGAATTTACTGGGATTTAATTCGGCGAGAAATTGCAATGAATTCGGGTTACCTTCATTAAAAAGTCGTAGTTTAAAATAAGTCAGACTTACGATCTCGTGTCTGGGGAATGTAAACAGAAAGATGACGATAACACGGTAGAGAAGTGAGCTCGTTAAGCAGTAAATGTATTGTGAGTTAAATACTTAGTTGTTTCTGCCTGCGACATAATTTAAACCTGGAAGGAAGTACTTTGGATGTAATAAATGAAGTAATCCGGCTTTGGAAATTAGTATTTTGTTTTTAAACGTACTTGCATTATTTAAAGTCGAGATGGCTTTGAAAACAATATTCGAAATAAGGTTGCTGATATTCTCTGATGCAAAGTCGAGAAACTACCGCACGAAGAAGAGCGAAGTCGCCCAAAGATTCGCATTTCGCAACACTCTAAGAAATTAGCTTGGTCAAACTGATTAGCGAAGCCCTTACCACCACGAGCACTTTCTTGAGTTATCACGATAAAGCACTTGTCTTGTAAACGAAGGAGAAAATCTAGTGGTTCGCTTGGACGCCTTTCCTCGAGGAAAAGAGACATAGATTCGCCACCAGCGGCAACTGGATTAAATAAAGAAAATCAAATTACATCTGTTAAAATCTGCGCTCTTATCCATGTACGGCATTCGCTCTTTCCAGTAGCGCCTGAGAGACTTCATCCTGACATCGTAGACGTACAGTTTGGCTTCTGTAGTGTACTTGATCATCTTCACGGGCATCTTCGCCTCTCTGTGCTTTTATTTCCAACATTTCCGCATAATAACGCTGCCAGGATTTGCGAAATTCCGTGAACAATACAGGGGTAAAACAGAACATGGCTACAGTGCCTCCAATACAACAAAATGTGCCCACCAACTTTCCTATCGCTGAGGTCGGAACGAAGTCTCCGTATCCTACGCTTGAAAGGGTTATTATGGTGAACCAGAATGTCGCCGGAATACTAGTAAATTGAGAGCTTTCCCCTTCGCCCTCGGAAAAATACACGAAGCTGGAAAAAAAAATTGTGTTAAACACTATACATAATACGAACAAGCTCATATGCTCGCGACTGTCCACAATTGTTTCAAACAGAAGTCGTATGCTGACGCTATATCTTTTCAGTTTAAGTAGCCTCGCTAAGCGAAGACAACGCAAAATCTGATCTGGTACCACATGGCTTGCATCCTGACCCGTAACGTTCTTAACGACTATTTTCACGTACAATGGTGACAAGGCAGTAATTTCCACTAAAAAACTAAAGGAGATCACGAATTGCGCGATCTTTGGTGCGCACAATGAACGGAGAATCAACTCCACGGTAAACCATATAGTAAAGACCACCTCAACAGATGACCAAACAATATCATAATCCACAGCTTCCATTGTTGAATTCCCTTCCTGATTGTGAAGCTGGTCCGGTTTCTTCGGTAATTCTGGCAGTGACTCTAGACACAAAGAAACCAGCGATAGAACGGTCAGTATCAACGAAAACTTTGTGTACGTTCTCTCCGCCGGAGTAATTGGTTGATCGAAAAAACGCCACACGTTTCTTCTTGTCCTATTGAACTTTCGCAAGCACGGCAAACTTTCGGTCGCTTTCCGTCTCGCTGCTGCAGCAAGTTGTGCATCGAGTTCTTCATCGGAATCTTCGTAAAAGCCATCGAGTTGGAAGAACTTTAATTCCGAAGAGAATATCTCATACGAAACAGTTTCCGGCTTGGAGAGGATTCCATTTGACTGATAATAAAAAAGTATCGAGTTAAAAACTGCCTTATCTCTATCAAAATAATATTCTCGCCGAATCGGATTGTAAAATCGGTTCCTTTTAGTTTGAGACCCCAGCAAGGTCCTCGGAAAGCGAGACAAAGTGTGTTCAAATGTTTCGAACATCTCGCCGCGCACGTTAATCGTAACTTTTTGTTGAAGCACAACATTTTGCCCGTTTTCTGCCCTCGAATTTTCCGCTGCATTAAGTTTAGAGCGTATTGACATCCTCTGACAATAATAATAGAACGGTCTTAAGCCCGGCTGTTACAAATCAAAGGCTTTTTCTTTTTCTTAAAGGGATACGCTAAGACTGATGACAATAATCGCCAGGCGCATACTGTAGCCGCTACCAGTCTGACGTTGTTTTCACCAAAGTCTCAATTATCCTTAACAACAGAGTTTGCAAAGTTATGACTCTTTTTGTAAGTCAATTTGAGTTTGTATTTGTTGAATACGATAAATAATTAAGTGCGGAACGAGCATTTATTTGAAATGGCCAGATGTTTTGGCCGTGTTTTCGAACGACCCACGGCATAAAAGCAAACTTTTATTGCTCTCAAAATCATAACCGCATAATCGGATGAACTTTCTCTGAAAAAAAATGAGGTTACCTTGAAGAGTTCCGACACGACATCTTTTTGCGGTAACGCAAACAACCCACGATTCGTTTGGAAAATTTCTCGTATTATTTTCTCGTAGCCTGACAGGAAGACCGAGAATGTAAAATATTAAATTATGCATCGTAAACAAATTTCTGTCAACCCCCTATCGCGAGTTCAAAATCTTTCGTGTTAAAACTGTTATAAAATCCCAGAAAGTCAAAAAATGAAAATCAGGCGATTCAGATTAATTTTCGGAATTGCAATTTAAGGAGTTGGGTATTCGAAAGCCCCTCGCAGAAACTTTTAAACCGACCGCAAAGTTTGCCGTTTTTCTCGGCATCTAATCTAAGTATGTTCTGTCTTAATTAACGATGTGGAAAAAGTTTTTAACACAAAACGAACGATCTTAATATGTTCGGCGATTAAGAAACTGATAACTTCTGGCAACTTTTTGCTGTTATTTTTGTAACTTTTCAGCCCCGCTTTTCATCCGTTTACTTGCGAGTTAAAGAGAAATTTGATTATGCCAAAATATTGTTAGAAATTTAGTGCCGGTCAGGTGCTGAAACCCTACGCACGAAAAAAATTACAAATGACTTCAGATATGTTGACAATACAATATTTGTTCCTAACTGAGAAAACAGAAAACAGCTATTTACGTAATTGTTCGAGATCTTCACTTGCTTTTGTGGTAGCTGACATGTTTTTGAAAAGTTACGATTTTATTCGCGGACGAAAATGCGACCCAGTTGGATTGAAAGTTCAAACGAATATGTAGGGCAGTTTTAAAAAATCTAGCAATTAACTTTCTCTAAATTGAATAATATATTAAATCACGATATAGGCTCTGGCTAAAAAAAAATATATGTATTCTTTTGAGTCACTTTTATGACGAACTTTGGGTTATAAACAAAGCAGGATTCAATTCAGTTTCATCAGAATGACATCAAACAAGAGAAGAGATAACTAGGAGTCCGGACCCACATATGGATTTATTCCCTAGGAAATCACTATTGAGTTATTTTTAGATCACTTCCGTTTTCTTATCTCTGATCTCTATGCTAGTCTAAGAAAAACCAACTAAGCGCCGCGAAGTTTTGCACATCTCGACATGCCGTCATTCTCGTGTGCGACATGCGTCTTTTCTTTTCTTTTTCTCCTGGGCGTCTTATAGGCGGACGAAGGAAGCGCGAGGGGAGCGCGAAGAGCAATTCTCACGCAAGAAGAGGAACGTGAATGACTGTTCTGTTCAGAGCGGAGAGGATGGATGGGCGATGACAAACGAGCGGTTCGCTCGATAAGTGATGCGGAGTAAGACCAGCACGAGCACTCAAGTTGAGTTCCCAGTGCATAATCCAGGCGGAAAAATTTTCCTTCCGACCCTGAACCGAGAATTTATTTTTCTTTCTACTCCTCCACTTACGTATGTATCGATCTGTGCATTCTCCCCACGCTCTCTTCGCATTTGCTCGGCCTCCATTTGCCTGAAGGCTCTCCCAACAATTGTTTGTTTTCTACCAAAATTTTCAAGTAGCGCACAAGGCATCTATGATTGTAACATTATTCCCGGTTGAGGCCTGATACCTCGAGTCTCTAAATAACTGGAGAGAAACTTCCATGGTTTAGCATTGGATTGACTGAAGCTTTGTCTGTCTCGTCATCTATTCTCTGAAGTAGCATCTAGACACCCTTCTTCTGTATAGCTCCATCCCACTAACATTCATGGCAAAAACTGTAAATTCATAAAAGTATGTGGAGTTTCAGCCGTTGGCTATCAGATTAAAAAAAAAAAAAAACACTCTCAGTAACGCAGCTGGTAACTAAAAATAGATTAACATCGTTAAGTTTCATGAATGAGAGTTAGTCACTTGCAATTTGGTCTTTTGATAGGCCCACGCTCCAACGACGTCAACCAAAAGCTTACAAGTCTTTAACTTTGCAACATAACATTTTCCTCAGGAATTAATGCCTTCTTTTACTTTGTTTCTCCAAACCGTCTACGGAAGGAAAGAATTTCCCGTAAGATAAAAATAGTCCTCATAGAAAGAAAAAGGAATCGTTCAAGAAGTAAACAATAACAAATTCACGTCAATTCAAATTATGGCAGAAATTGCGGGGTGTATTATGTGAACGCAAGCTCATAGAAATGTCTGTAATTTGTGAATTTTTAAAAGTCTACAGGCGTGATGCGTTAATTTTCGATTTAGTGTTCAAAGCAGGCTGTTGATTGCCAATCACGTTTGATGAACAGAATGTTAACAAAGTATTATATTTTCTCCCATTCTGTTGTCACTTCCAGTGTGGATTGCAACGTTTAGATGGCTTAAAATTCGTTAGTTAATCAACCAATTTTCCTAAGATGATATTTTATCCTTCCTCTCATTACCTTTCTGCTTGAAAATGAATGGATATTTCAAAGCGAATTCCCTTTTGTTCACCGCAAGGAGTGGAAGAGTTAAGTCGGTTGCGAGCCAACTGAAACTTATCCTGTTGTCCGCGTATGAGGCGACTTATAGTATTGCTTCTCCTCTTGGACGGAACGCCACCTCAGAAATAATTCTTTTGTCGGTTTACTGTTACCTATCTATTTCTCTTTATCGGAGAGAGGCACTGCGTGAAAGTAACTTTCTTGCTATAGATCACGTAACTCTGATGACCCAGCCTGGTCTCCAACCAAGACAGGATTCAGGGTCGCGAGGGACTGGCACTACCACTAGGAGGGGACGAAGTGAAGGGAGAAGAGAGAACGGAGATGTCTCTATATTTAAATTATTTGCGTCATTGGTGCTTATAAAAAGCACGGCCATTCCTGCTTTCCCTTTTCGTTTTAACCCGCGTTTTTAATGCATTTTGACCGAAGCATTTACATCAGTGGATTCTTGGCCGCTCAAGCTTCAACGCCCAACTTAAGAATAAGAAAAAAAGCATTGTGACCATCGATCCCAGTCGCAATCTAGACAAGGGGGTAGGTATCTGTTGATTTTTCAATTAAATGGTTATATGATACTTCTAAAATTTTATGAAGTAATTCCTTCTAATCTTTAAGCATAAATTTTTATGCGCATTTGAACATTGTATAGAATTTTCGCATTATAAATGTCCTATTATTAAAAAATGTCACTTAAAAAACCATTCCTTTATCATGTTGACCTCTATAGAAAATTAAATGTCCTGAACGTTTTAAAATATAAATTTAAGGCTGTGTTCTAGCGGTTGCGTAATTTTTCGTTCATATAATTTCAAATTTCCTCGTGCAAGACCCCGCGAAACGAATGTGCCTCCAAGCTTATTTGGAAACTTGAAATATATGTAGCATAGATCACCACTTATCGCAGCGTTCACGTAAACGTGGTAATTCATGGTTTTACAAATAGCTCAAATTTTTTTCCTTTTTTTTTTCTTTTTCCGAGCCAAGATTTTGTCCTTCAAAATTCCTTTGTTTAGTAATTGAGGTAAGTATTTAAACAGTTCCTAAGTGATGGCGATAAAGACTAAAAATCAAGGCTTTTTAGATTTATTTTAGAAATACCATCTCAATACGTCTCTTGATCACAGATGTATCTAAGGCAGCGCTGTTGCGTCAGCAGCCGCGCCTAAGTATTTAACGCCTAACTATATTAGTATTCAGCCGTTAAAACTAAATGATTAAATGAGAAAGCAGGAAGGGTAATTAAATGACTAACAAATATACTCAGCTCTCTCTATTGGACCAAGATAACATTATTTTGAGTGGATAATGATAATATAATAAGCCATTTCCGAGTTCACGAGGTTCAGAGATCTGGTGTTGGAATTAAGGCGCGAGAACGAGGATAAGTACCAACTCGTCCTAATCGGTAAAAAGAAAAAGGGGCCGTGATGGTGAAAATGAAAAATTCGAGCACTTAATGACTAACCTCTTTGAAAATTCTAATTTATTAATTTTAAAGAAAACATTCAAATAGCCCTCTAATTGTTCTCAACAATTTTTTTAACCCATCACTTGTTTATGAAACGAATAAAATTTGGTTTTATCTCATTCTTTAGGCGACATGTATCACTTACTTCGTCATCATCTATTTATACCCTTATATTAAATTTACCTCTGAACGCCTCTGAAAGAAATCGTGGATATCGATAATCGCCGCTGATAAATTTCTCTACTACATAATAATCATTAAATTCCTTTCCAAAAATGAATTTTCCATTTCCAATTTTCCATTCCCCATGCTCCATTCCCTATTTTCCATTTCCATTTTCATTCTCCATTCTCCATTCTCCATTCTCCATTCTCCATTCTCCATTCTCCATTCTCCATTCTCCATTCTCCATTCTCCACGCTCCACGCTCCACGCTCCTTGCTCCACGCTCCACTCTCTACGCTCCACTCTCCATGCTCCACTCTCCACGCTCCACTCTCCACGTTCCACGCTCCATGCTCCACGCCTCATGCTCCATTCTCCATTCTCCATGCTCCATTCTCCATTCTCCATTCTTCATTCTCCATTCTCCATTCTCCATTCTCCATTCTCCATTCTCCATTCTCCATTCTCCATTCTCCATTCTCCATTCTCCATTCTCCATTCTCCATTCTCCATTCTCCATTCTCCATTCTCCATTCTCCATTCTCCATTCTCCATTCTCCATTCTCCATTCTCCATTCTCCATTCTCCATTCTCCATTCTCCATTCTCCATTCTCCATTCTCCATTCTCCATTCTCCATTCTCCATTCTCCATTCTCCATTCTCCATTCTCCATTCTCCATTCTCCATTCTCCATTCTCCATGCTCATCCTTCCGGCCGGTGAAGTTTACCAAACGGATTCTCGTTCTGAAAATTACCGATTCATGTTTCTGTTTTGTTTCGTTTGTTTTCGTTCAGCAAATTACTGTAAACCCTCGCTATGAAACAGCAAGGAAAAAAAACGATTAAATGATGACGTAAAGGCAACTGAGGCCAGGCTGCATGTAGACGCCGAACGAGAACTCTGGAAAGTTAGCGAAGTCGTACGTCCAAGCATCCAAAATTTTAGGTACTGAAAATTTGCCTTCACTTATTTTTAATTTCTCCTCCAACAGCTTTTTGCGGTCTTCGGCAGCAGAGGCTAGTTTGATCTGCCTTATTGCTGCAACTTTTCTTGCATAAATCGGACAGTTCTGCTTTTTTTTTTCTTTGATACCGTCACTTAGCTCAATACCTCTCCCACAAATAATTTTTTTACCCTCCCACACTGAATTTTGAGAAATTTTCGCTCATTTTCACCACCACAGCTCTTTATTCTTTATACCCGCCGACAAGAGCGATTCGCACTTAGCCTCGTTCTCGCGCTATAATTTCGCCACCAGATCGCTGAACCGCAAGGACTCGGAAACGGCCTATCGATATATTATTAAAACTGATACTTACAACAACAAAGATCGAAGACGCGCGAATAACTTGCGCTCTGACGGACCTGGCACTGGTTTGGCCAATCCTAGCGTTAATAAGGACGCCACTCTTAGTACTGTCGCATAGCGAACCCTTTTCTTAAATAATGCGTGTTTATGCACGGTTAATGTGTTTTGTTGTGGCTAATAACAAATCAAGGTATTTTCAGTATTACTAATTACGCCTTTGTTTCGAGGTGACATTCTCGGCGCTGAAATTTGATTGCGCTTCCTCATTGACGATTTTGTCTCCTTTATCAATATTGAAAGAGCATCAGGCTCTTAGAGATTTTATGTGACGTCAAACCTTTTTTCACCTGTCGTCTTTCTTATTAATTCGTTGCCACTTCTCCTCTTGAATTGTTTTGTCTCTGTTAGCCATGAGCTCGTCAGGATCAGCGGACGAAGAAACTTCCTCGATAATCCAAATTGCAAAGCTGGATCGATTAGCCCTCGCATCCGAGATTAAAATTATTCCCGAAGGAGGGTGGGGATGGATGATCTGTGGCGCAGCATTTGTGACTCAGTTTATTGTTATGGGGATCCACAACTCGTTTGGTATTTTGTACACGACATTACTGGAGGAGTACAAAAGGTCCAAGGCAGAAACTGGTGAGATTATGTGTTAATGGAATTACGCGTTGTAGAGCAGTGTACAGACAGAATTTTCCGTTTGCGTCAATGGCAAACGGAAATATTGAAAATTCTTAATCTACTCTGTTGGGAGAAAGCGAAAAATCTTTCGTCCACTGTTGATATAAATGTTTCGATTTTACTTCAGAAACGGTTGAGAGCAGACAGAGAAGAGTTCAATTTTTGCCGTTGAGCGTTTGCTGCAAGCGTTATGACTAAAACTCTCAATTGTTTCATAATTGTGAAATTCCGATTTAAAGCTCAAGATATCTAGATGCCAGTAGGAATTACTTTGCACGTAAGGGGAACGTTAGTTGTAACTGCTGTTCGCGCTTAGGACTAGTTTGAGTTTCACTCAGTTTGGAAAGAAATCTTCGTTGGTTTGCCGATTCTAATAACTTCGGTTGAAAAATCGAAGTAACTGTAGATTTATGCGAAATTGTGGAGGTATAGATTATGTTCGATCAGGGGTTGTCACATGGGCTCACACAAAATTGATTATATTATTCATACGATTGTTAATATTTCCTACTGAGAACACACCAACAATCAATCTACAAAAACGCATTTGTGAAGTCTTTTGAGTTCGTAAAGATTGCAAAAGGAAGGAAAAGGAAGGAAAATTTCTACAGTTACGGTGGTCATTTTCTGGAGTATACCATGAATATACCGTCACTGCTGACGATGTCAAGCGATTATTACGAAGCAGTGTAAAAACTCAACCAGACCTGAGCTGTTTTGTTCAACTTTGGTTCTCGTCAAATGTAACAGCCAGTTCGTCTTTTATATTTTCAGTCTCTACGAAAAATTCCCGCTAATTGTACGCATTCTTATTTTGATAATCGGCTTTTTTGGGGTCATAGGAACGAAAAACAAGCTTTGGCGAGAAAAATCTTTTTTTAACATGGTAGATTAGAAAACAAAAAAAAAAAATTTACACAAATTTTCGGTTAATGTTGTTTTGTTGTTGTTTGTCGGACTTTTTAGATTTAATCGCGCTTAAAAAACTAACGGTAACTGATATGAAAAAACATTATCCAGCTCCCTAGAAAAATCACAGATGATGTAATCACGAACGAAGCGAGACCTTTGACCTAGCGAGATTTATCTGCCGCGCAAACACACATGCCCGTAAATGACCTTTAGTTTTATCAGCTGAGTTGATAACGTAAATTGACCACCGTAAAGAGTTCTAGAGCTGACATTCCGAGCGTTAGTCTTTTGTCGGAGAGATCGGTAGAGATCGATACGAGAACTGACAGAGTTTCAGAGTTTCTGGCTCAACTGGTCCTATCAATACGTCAAAAAAAAAGCAGGGCCAGACAGTTTTCACATTCCTGCGCGGACTCTTAATTATTACATCATTTTCCACAGTTATAAACACGAAGAACTCGATCGCTAGTGCTCCTCAGCATTGGCCATTTATTTTCCATCTAGACCTCCTGGAAAACTGTTGTTTTGTTTTACCAGACTTGAAAAATGGTCACAACTAAAACAAATAAAAGCACAGGTAACGAAATGCTGCCTTAAAGCAATTTCTGGCCTATCATTGAGGTATGCGCAATATGCCCGTCTGAATGTTTATTTCAAGCCGACAATTTTTTTGTCTTGTGTTTGTTTGTTTTTTAAACTTTGTGTTGATCTTAGGCCTCAGGCCTCTTGAGATTTTGTTTGCTCCTGACTAAACCTTATTATGCACATTTTGTACCTTGCACGTTCTCTTTAGTTTTGTTTGACTTTAGTTCAATTTCAAGCTCAAGTTCATGTCTCGCCGTTTATTTGGTGAGATTTCCGCATTGCCTCATACTTCATTATGCATGCAGTTCTCGGGTGAAGAAAACAGTGTCCAGAACAGTAAATTGCCCTTTGGACTATGGCTCTGTGTTACAATGGTTTGGGGCTGTGCGGAAATCTTTCCGTTTCTTGATTTTTCTCGAGAGATTGTCGATATGGTTCGCGAATTTCGCTTTGCATGTTCTGTATTTTCCGTTTCATCATTATTATTTCAATCGTATCCACAGTATCTTGCTTTAATTTTGTGCTCTAAAACAAACTCTTGAGGAAAGGACCGCTTAATTATTCCTGACCATGAACGAGTTTCTTAGGTGGTTTACGAGAGTCTAGATATGTTTATGTAGGGCTCGCATAACGTTTCCAACAGCGGCTACAATGGTCCATTGTTTAGGAGTGCAAAGGTGAGATTTTTAAAACTGACAAACAAACTTTTAAAGAAGATTTGGCTCCATACGGTTGCAAGGTTTGTCAACTCTATATAACTAGCATAATTCTCGCCTCAATATCTTACGGTATGATGTTTCAGACTAGTAAATCCTTTGCTAGCTTAAAATGATTAATTCTCTTTTTTCTTCAGCATGGGTGGGTTCAGTCAGTGTTGGAGTTATGTATGTATTTGGACCAATCACCAGCGGGCTCAGTGAAAGACTGGGTTGCAGAGTAGTGGCACTGCTTGGAGGTTTGCTGTGCTTCTTGGGAATGCTTATGACGTCATTTGTTTCCGACCTGACAAAGCTCTATGTGACTTACGGCGTCTTGTGGGGTATAGGGACGAGCTTCTGTTACTTCCCCACATTAACCGCTCCTGGGGAGTATTTTTGTAAGCGATTATCATTGGTAAATGGCATAGTTACTGCTGGTAAGTTGAGCAGAATCAAATGTATCACTTCTTTAAGAGGATCTAACTACCCGTGCCGTAGGAGAAAGAAGTCACTTTGGTCAAATTAGGGAGTCACCCCCCCTCCCTTCCTGGATTACCGAAAAATGGGATATATAGATGTCTGTAGGTAGCGCACTAGCTTAGTGTACGAAAGTACGAGCTTACACCCAAGCTGGTGTGACTATGTGCAGAACGCTCGCAATACATTAACCCCTCTATATAAGGGTCCATTTGCTCAAAGGGTGTATGATGCTATCCGACAGATAAATCGCAATTCAGCGGTTAATTGTTAACAAGCACAATAACCCGCATAACGCTATTCAACAGATAAATCGGTATCCAGCCGATAGGTGTTAACAAAACGCACTGCGCTACCCATTGGATAGAGATTCATCTGGTGGATAGCGTTAACCCACGCAGGAGTATAGTTGATACTGGAAATCTTTTAAGGAACCCTCGCGAAAGGCGGTGTTTTCACTGAAATCAAATGGCGACATTCTCTCCAGGAGAAGAAGTGCGTTATACGACGAGTCGCATCATAAAGAAATTACGAAACAGTGGAACTCTTCCATAAATAACAGGTTTAATTACTGTTCTTCCATTCTCATGCTAATCAGCCTTCCTGGCCTGGAAGATATGTTAAAGAACTATAGAATTTTCTGTGAAAAGCGAGGCTGGAAAGGCTAATTTATACGTACCTAAAATAATATATCTATCATATACGCTATTTTAATTAAGGTGTAGGTGAGTCGAACGTTATTTAAAGTTTCCTTTTATCACAGTTTACATAAATTATTGGAGAAAAAACGAACGTTTTGCGCTTATGTTCGACAGGAAGTGGAATTGGCACGCTGACATTCGGCCCAGTCCTCCAGTACATCCTCCAACGCTATGGCCTTTCTACTTCTCTGCGCATACTCAGTGGCGTATCACTGCTGTTGCTACTGGCTGCACTGACTTACAGGCCGTTTCGCTCACCTCTTGAGGAACTGTTTGAAGTAAAGCGACAGCCTAGGCCTTTCTTTGACTTCTCAGTATGGCAAAACAAAGCATTCTGTGTTTATACAGCAGCTGTGGCTATTTTCATGCTGGGTTATTTTATTCCTTATGTCCATTTGGTAAGTAAACAAAGGACGGGGAGACTTGAAATGAGAGTGAGTGTATAAACAATTCTTGGTTGAGGTTTTGTGATATCCAGAATAATCACGGTTGAGGCAGGGGTTATCAGCCTCAGCCTTCGGCTTCGGCTGGTAACCCATCAACGAGATCTTGATTATTCTGAATATCACAAAAACTTCATCCAATAATTGTTTTATTATACATTGATCGAAAGGAAAAGGTCACTACAATAAGTGGAACTGATAACTTATTTCTCAACGTATAAAAATATACCTATCAGGAAGCAACAAAAGGCGCGCGAACTTGACATGATTACCTTTACAAATCATGCACCGCAGTCATACATGACATGATTACCTGTGACCTTGAGTGTCCTTCACAAAATTATTGCATAATCTACAACTAGATGACGTGCCAGGCGCTTATTTCGAAAACCCATAGTACGCTTTCGGCCAATCAGAAAAGAGACAGTGAGTTGAATGTATTACAATAGCAATCAAGCAGTTGCTAGAATAAAAAGATTTTGGATATTCTCTTATTTTCACCAACAGCTCAGTCAATCAGACAGTCACTTTTGCTCTATTGAGGGGCTAGCGCCCCAAAAATCTACTTTTATAAACTCCTTATGGTGGCTAATTAACAACTATTCACCGAAATTGAGGTGGCGCGGATTTGTGAAGCGGCGAGGTGAAGATCCACCACAAGCCGCCGATACTTAGGTGAATTGTTGGTTTAGTATGTATTAAGGCAGTGAGATAATATAGCATAAAAAGATGATTATAAATCATTTATTCCTACAACAATTACAATATTCTTGGGCGCAAATCCCGGTTTAACTCATCTTCATGTGCGCGCATGGTATAATGGCTCATAACCCATGATGTCTAGGCAAATGAAAACTCTTGAATTGCGTTATCCAATGATCTAGTTTTTGATATCAAAAGATACTCGGAGTCTGAGTTGCCAATCAGAGCGTGCCTTCGACGCTATCCACTGTCTTAGCACATACTAAGTTGGTATATGACGTGATTGATATTTTTAACTTGTAGTCAACGTACTTAACAGGGATGCCAACATTGGTCTGTTCTGCATTCCAAACAGGTTAGTCACGTGGAGGGTCTGGGTATTTCACCTTCCAAAGCAGCTCTGCTGATTGGATTCATGTCCATCGCTTCAACGATCAGTCGGCTCGGATTCGGCAAGTTTTCCGACCATCCAAGGGTAAATCGATTGTTCATGACGCAGCTGGCGATTTTGGGCTTTGGGGTGACCACAACACTGAGTCCGCTGGCCAGAAGTTATGCATCCTTACTGACGGTGGTCGTGGCCTTGGGGCTGTTTGACGGATTGTACGTGGTGTTGATCGCGGTGCTCAATACTGATATCGTGGGAGTTCATAAGCTCCCAGCCGCAATAGGAAGTCTGTACGGAGTCATATCATTCACCCTTACGCTTGGACCTCCATTTGCTGGTACGGTAGCGATTTTTAAAATTAAGATATTGTTGGTAAAACATACTACTCGCTCTTTCACACACTTACGGATTATTTTGTTTTATTAAAACAATTTTGCGGAAGCTTTGAGGAGGGCGTACTTTTCCATTTCAACTCAGCCCTCTGTAAATGTTTCGTTTTCTTTTCAGCTCAGTCCCCAGTGACCGAAGCAGATCATCCCAAAAAGTTGAAGATTTTTTCTCGGTTGTAGCACGTGGTGCCTTGCGCGCCATTGAGACAATTTAAGAATTCGATGTAGCAGCGTAAATTGTCAGTCTACATTGGTTTGTCCAACCAGCAAATGTTCAAAATTTCAGAGTGTTTTTATAAGATTCACCAAATTTCTCACCACAAAATCCGAACGGAAAATGTCCTTTCCATTTGCAGTGCTCTTAAAGCATTTACTCCTTTCGTATATCTTCATCAGTGCTTTGTTTTTAACATGGAAATTAAAAAAAGGACTGGTTTGCAAAATTGTGCACAATTTTCAGGAAAAGTCGGAAAGGAATATTTGGACTTATCGCCTACCAATCGATTTTTCGATTCGATTTTTTCATAAATCTACCCGCTTTCTATCACGAATGCTGCGATCTGATAATTGGATTGTTAATCAGTCCCCCTGTAAATGGTGAACCGCTTCTCAATAACAAACTCATTAGTCATACTACAGCAACCCTCGCTTGCCTGAGTCACTCATCTTTTTTTCCCATTGCAGGCCTTATGTACGACATGCTCAATTCTTACCACACAGCATTCTACATCTGTGGCGCCACCACTACCCTTTCCTCTTGTCTGATGTTTCTGATACCTTGGCTCATGCCCAACCAACAAGGAGGTGTCTTTCGCCGAGATTCCTGTCAGAGCCGCCTGGAAGGACTTCTAAACTCACAGTCATCTACTCCATGTACAAGGAAGCATTCCCGTTCATTTTTCGCCGGAAGATCGGTGAAGAGCCGAAGCTTGGATAGTGGAAATAGTAGCTTATCTAGCCCCGTAACCGGGGAGATCAGCCTTTGCGAAGCTGACAGGGCTGAGCAGGAGTACTTGACAGGATTTACCATCGATAACGAAGCTGATGTGGCGACAGACGGGGCCTCTAATGAAAAGAGCAGCTTTTCCATGGATACAAGCATCAATACCGTCTTCAATGCTAGCATGTCACATCGAGGATCTATTACAAAGTTTCTATTGCAACAGCAGCTTCAATCCCAATCCAGAGCCTCCACTCCATTATCAGGTTCGCGCCGAGGATCATCACAAAGTCCCATGGGGTTGCAGTCGGGTGGTAGCTCATCCAGGAGCTCGATGAGTAGCAGTTTAGGTTTCAGAACTTCCTCCTCAAGCCCCTCGAGGGGGAAAGGCTCATTCAAAAGATCTCTATCAGAGTCAAGGCAAGGGTCCTTTGAGGTTTCCGAGGAATCAAGCAGCGAAGAATCTTTCGAACCGATTTCCTCTGAGCCCGAAGGAGAAATGGACACGTTGTCATTAGGGCAACTGTTTAATGAAGACACCCGACGAGAATCTGGTGAAAGCACGGTAGTGGGCTCAAACTGGGAGTCCGGTCGGAGCACTGTTATCGCAGGAACCCCGAAGGTCTTCCAGTCTGGAATGAAAGACGATGATATGCTTCATCTGCTAGCTGCTCGACTGTTGCAGGCCATGCGAGGAAGGGAGCAAGATGATTGTGGAGAAGAAAGGGAATCTACTGTTTAGAAACTGTGCCAGCTCAGACCTTAGGCGTTCTCTTCTACACTCTGTCCAACGGAAGTCTGGGAAGGATAAGCCAACTTCGTTCCCAGGGTCCTGTCTCTTTCTGGGAACGAGGCTTGGAGTGGTTGCGTCTCTCTTTTTGTGACTTTAGTGGACAAAAAACGCCAAAGTAATAGGTTCAAACTTTGCATTAGCTGGATATTTATAGCTCATTACTAGCTGTCCACGATTTCAAGTTAAGTTAGGTTTCCTTTACAGTTAAATTAAGTACTTGCCCTTTTTACTGACTTTTATTCATCCTTCATGAAATTTAGCTCATCAAAGTCGAAACTTAAAGAAAATAGTTAGTTTTAATCAAAAGTCACTTCCGTCATGGAGTAGCTTATTATAGAAGACGGTTATGACTTCTCTCACTGCAATTTACTGATTTCTGATACTTCCTTAACCAACCTGGAATATTTGCCCATTTGCATCTACTTTCTGACTTATTGCTGAAAGGTCTGGATAGCAGCAGATATGTAACGAATTTAATAAAATAAACGACTCTTTTTAAAAACACGTTTCGACGGTTCTTCTGTCATCTTCACTTTTGATTTTACGAAGTAAAAAGTTGAATTTAAAGTGTATAACAAAATGCTGATTGGACAAAACAAAAAATAGTAACAGAACAGAACAATGTATACATTTACAAGGAAAGTTTTAAATTAACATCATAAAGTTGATGATTAAGTGTAGGTTGCTCCCATTGAATGTGGATAACTTCTTTGATTTTGAGATGGAAAGTTGTGGAAGCGTGATTTAAGATGCTAAAATACTCACCAGAACTTATCATTTACCTATTTCCTCAGCCATTTATCTGTCAATCTTCTTTTCAAGTGTAAAAATTAATGGACAAGTGACTACGTATAAATCTTTTTCAATTCTCCTCTCTGTTTTCTATACATTTCTTAAAATTTTTAGCTCGGAGAATTTGGTGTTTAATCAAACGGTATCCCCTTGTTGATATTTTTCATTCTTCTCATCACATCTCTAGTTGATAAAGTATTCATATTATTGGGAGAAATTACTCGTTGTTCACTACCAGGGGTATAACGGTAAGTTCAATTTTTAAAAGCCTTCCTCACCGTGAATCATCGAAACGGAGCACTGATTGAGTTGGCGCTAAGTTCAGTGTAACTGACTAGTTTAACTATTATATTTTTTGGCCAGAATTCAGAGCCATCCTACCGTTTTAATAGTTTAAGGAACTGCTCATAGTACTTTCATTTAGAAAATAGGATTGGAAGGTACACACAGTGGCTTTTTTTACGCTTTCTTCGACCGAACTTTCTCAACATGGCACGCAGTTTGGCATTGAACCGGCGCCTTTGCCAACTGCTTAATCTTAGTTGCCCAATATGCTCATGGGAAATGCATATGGCATGGAAAAGAACGCGAAAAATACTGACTTTTTAAACTTTTTTTTATTATCTTCATATATTCAAGTTAACACAGAGTTGGAAAGTGAAGTGCTCATTTCCTTGTACTGTGAAACAGTTAAACAGAGAAGAACGCGGTGAGATGGAAACGGAGAGTGTCAGATCAGTTGCTTTCATTTCAAACATCCACCCGTTTGTTTGTTACTTGAATGCCACTATGTTGTACAAAGCTTGATGCTCTAGACTCTTGCTTCTCTTTCCACAAACATCCAAAAAGAACGTGCATAACCTCAGAGCGATGATTCGATCTCCTCCTTCGTAAGAGTTTCGCAAGTCTCTTGCTGCCGGTTTCCTGGTTCGACTGTGTTGACAGACGCGGTATAAAAGACGTCAAACTTGCCGCAAGGAAGGAGATGCCCCCACATGAGTAGAATGCTGCGGCATAATCTCCAGATATGTCGTAAATCCAACCTGCACAGGATCATAAACAACTGAAACAAGGTCTCATAAAAACGTCGCAGTGGCTTATCCATGGGCGGGGAACCAAAATTCTTTCAATGATAGGATCGCATGTAACTACTTGACTTGAATGAATTATAATTTACTTGAAAGATATCTCAATTTAAATATGCTCTGGTGTAAAAAAAAATAGTTATTTTTCTTTTTTTTTTTTTTATCAGGAGAACATCAGCTGGAAATGTTAAGTTTTGCGCTCAACCGCTTGCGTGTAACACTCTCTCTACTCGCTACCAGCGGCATTTGATGTTCTCTTGGTTTCACTGCACATACTCGTTCATACCCATCGGACCCCAATGAGGTTCAAAGTGGTTCAATTTCTGACACACATTGGCTCTGGACAAGAGAACATAAAGGTTATAATCTCTTGCTCTGGAATTGAGTATTTTCAACTGAGTGTTAAAAGTAACTCGGGATTGCTTGGTTGTCGCACTAAGCTTTTTGATTGGCGTGGAGAACTTTCGCCACCCTCTCAAACAATCAGATAGAGATCTAAAACCAGTCGCGACTTGACAGTTGCGTTTTCATTCTTTTTACTTATTCTGAAAAACTAACGATCGTCGGCAATAAACTACTTCCTATGAAGATCTGTTAATTCTTAATTCATATAGCACAAACAGTCATTCTAAGATCACTTAACATTTCAAATGCACTCGAACTAAAACGAACCTGCGATGGGAGGTCCTAAAAACATTGGGAATGCCATGACAGTGAATGCACTACCAAGAGCGTAAGACATCTTTCGGAGGCCCACGATGTCACTTGTGACCAGCGGAATCAGCAAAATGTAGCATGCCTCAAAGAACCCGAAGATAACAGCGTAAGCTACCAAACCGCCGTATCCTGTTGCCATGGTGACAAAAAAGGAACATAAACCAATTATAGAGAGTCCCATCTGATACATGTGGACTCTGTTGACGCAAGAAAGATCTGCCATTTTACCGAAAAAAAGTCTTCCAGCTGTCGACGCCACCGATAAGTAACCGATCAGGAACGAAGCATCTGTCGGTGGAACGCCTAGATCTTCGGCATGTCTGACCTGATATTAAGACAGTATCTCAGTCGCTTAAATATTTATCGTTTGTTTTTGACTAAACATTTAGTTTCAGTCGGTGACATTCTAGATTCATCAAAGTTTTCTTTCAGAAGGGATGAACATCATTTTAAAGCCAAGAAAAAAAATGAGCTTCCCGTGGAAGCCAAATATTTATGAAAGTTTTCTTTAGTTATCCTCTCTTGAGCCCTTTTCCACTATGCGACTGCAGTAAGAATTCGGTGGGTCAGTTAACAGTCAAAAAGTTGAACAAGGTGCTATCTCAGTGGTGTTCCTGTGCAGCGTTTTTAGACAGGGCAACTAACACTCTCACTCAGATGTTTACGCAGGCTGAGGGGACAAGGGACAAGGGTAGAATACTCACTGAAATGAAAGCTCGGGCTTTAAAAGTTACCTTAAAAGTAACATTAAGTAACATTATTAAGTTGCTTAGGTTAGTTAGCGATCGGTCATTATTCATCTCGGGGGGGGGGGGGGGGGTGGAGTTGTGTCGTGATAATCAACCTGATCGCCCTATAAGTCTGTAATATTGTTATGATTCTCCCATCATTGGCAGTTAATTGCCCATCAATTTTCTATATTTTCCTTTTATACTCTGTCGGCAACGACTGATCCCCCTCCACTAACCCTGAAAACAATGTTATCCTTTCCAAATCATTTGCTTCCCCCCCCCCTCCCCCCAGACGATACGGAACGACTGATCCCCTAATTAGAACTCTTACCAGGTGTACAAATGGTACGAAATAACCAAGCTGAAATGTCGCCAGAGAAGCGATCCAGATAACATATCCCTTATTCTTGAAAATGCTCCAGTCAAAAAGCTTTCTTTTCCGCTCCCCCTCAGAATTTCTAATGTTCTGAAGGTACTTGGCAGGAACGGGTCGAAACGTTGCTCCGCATAAGATCACTATGGTGAAAATTCCTGCCACGATTCGAAAAGTGTTTGGTACGCCAAAACGCAAAAACAGTACCTGGGCGACTGGGCCAATCACAAGCGTTCCCACTCCACTTCCGGCTGTTACCAGGCCGTTCACGACCGCAATTCGGCGTTTGAAGTATTTAGAAAGCACAATTATCGTGGGAAAATAGCAAAGGCTCGTCCCAGCCCCAAACATGAGACCGTAAGTTAAATACAACGGAAATAGACTGGTAACTAATGACGAAAGTAAAAGCCCTGCGATGCAGATGAGACCCCCGCAAATGGTGACGATTCTGCAGCCGAGTCTTTCACACATCGAGGTGGTAAGTGGGCCGAGGAAAAACATGATCCCAGTCGCAAGTGACCCGACCCAAGCTGGAAAAAATGTAATAAAGATAACTTCGTTGACAAAGTTGCACTTCTACACAAAGACTGAAACTTATCATGACTAGAAGTTTATATTACTCTTTTCAATTGCAGCCATGTTTAGTTGCTACGCGTGTCTGGCATTGTGACAAGTTTATTTTTCTTGTAGGACGATAAACTATAGCTATCACTTTTTAACTTTTACCAGGAGCCCATTAGGGGCTCCTGCTTTTACCAACCTGTGGCTCCTCTGGGAGTCTTTAGTTCCTTCACCAGTTCCGTGTAAACAATACCTGCTGTATTTTGCATGCCGAGGGCGATGAACTGGACTATAAATGCGCCAAAACATACAACCCAGCCCCATCCGCCGTCGGGATGGGTTTGGACTAAAATCTGAACCGAACGATCGTTCGCGTTACTCAGGGTGTTGTCTGGTTGGTTGCCTTTAAAGCTGTCAGTCAAACCTGTTTGTTTGATTTTCTCGGCGTCTCTCGTGATGACAGATTCGGTGTTACTCCCACAAGGCGTGGTTCCGAAGGACCGCGAGGGTTCATGGTCTACCTTTGAGGTAGTTTGCTTTGAGAGTGCCAAGTCGGATTCTTGAGGAAAAACAAGGGGCGCATTTTGCACCAGGATGCCTCTATCATCCTTTCTATTCAACCGGTTTTTTCCTGTGACATTGGGAATTTCTGCAGTTAATGGATCTACTCTTGCTTCATTTGAATCTTGTAATGAACATGACCCGGGAGCTAAAGTTTTGAAGTTCGAGTTTTGTGCTTCTTGAAGTTCGGACCCCGAACTACCACGTCGTCTCAGGTTTACTTTTTCATCCATCCGTATATTTTCATTCATCGGTTGTACAACATCACAAACAGCGTACGAAGCCCTTTGACCCAAAATGGACGAGCTAGTATCAACATGCTTTAATGATAATTTTTCATGTAAACTTCTCGAGTTGTTCCCTTCGTGTGTGAACAATTTCTTTCCATTTGGCAATGATATTTCCCTTTCCGTAGAGAATTCATTGTGACCTCTTTCTCTTTTTGACTCTGCCCTGCTCGAGAAATCCTTGCCGATGTTTCTTGGTGAGGAGAGCACATCTTCAGTATCACCAGATTCGTTATAATCGAGCTTGACAGCAAGTAAACGATTCTTCTTTACATCCGTTAAAGGAGCTTCGGACGCAAAATTTGGAAGCGTGTAAGTCCCTCCAATGCTGTCGCCTCCGTAAAGCGAGTCTGACTTCTCCCTTTGCCGCTCATGAGTTTCGGGCATAACCCCGGAACACGAAAAGCGGAAAGGGTTCAATACCAAGGCGAATTTGAATTGAATGCAGTCCGTTTCTTGGAAGTTTGGAGGTCACTCATTTATCGATCCCCTCTGCAGTTGTCCCTGGAAAATAGATTTAAGAGTCTGTATTTTGGAATTCATTTTCTCCGTAACTAACCAGAATCATGGCCTCGGAAATCGAGCAGTTTCTCACTGTTTATCTAGACCTAATTCCGCGATTGCTTTCGTTTTAATTTAGCCGCTCCCTCAGTGTTCAGGTCTATCCTCTTAGCTAGTCACAAGCGTTTTGATAACTTGCAATTCCTGATATCGACGCGGGAACAAGTCCGTTGATGATAAAAAAATTAGTAATCTGTTTAAGCTAACAAAGAGATCGACATGAGAGTGGGAAGCACCGAATTCCGCTTCTTATCAAAAAAATTGCGACGGCATTTTCTCAATTTTTAAAGGCCTACAAAAACTGTCTTGGAAGTTCCCGTAGTCGCAACGTAATTACTGTGATATAGACTAATGTCATGGTATCATCACGTGCGTGCACTCAGCGTGTGAAAAAGAATATGACTCCAAGAACTTAGGTACTCAGTTTCTCTTAGACTAGAAGAGATACATATCGCAAAAAATACCGAAAGGTCTTCGGGACGTACCTGAGAGCGGCAATCGTGGCGGATCCTAGTCCAGAAACTGGTCGTCGTTGTGCGCCATGGCGCAAGGCAATTTTGATTGTAAAGAAAAGGAATAATTGTAATGACGACATACACTCTAATTTACCAATTAAATGATAAGTGGAAAGTTGTAATTAGGCTGACGTCAGTAAGTGCCGCACGCATGCAATCATTATTTGATAAATAGCGTGCAAGATAGGCATAACTTATTTTTTTGTTTTCAGTAGAAGGGACGCGACACAAACGCGAGGTAAGCGTGAAGGTCCAGTCTCGCGAGAGGGTTTTTCTTGTGGCCTCGGTCACTTAAGGGGTAGATAACGCTATCCACTGGATAAATCGGTTCTTTAACTTGGACTGCGCAGTACGTTTTGATAACACTTATCCGATGAATAACGATTTATCCGTTGGATAACGTTATTTCCTCTTTGATCCACTCCAGATTCCAATAGTGTGTTTCTCCAAATACCTGTTTCTTCCAAGAATCGTTAACTTTGCTGGGCCGAAAAAAAGGATTTTTGTTTGCCATGTTTTCATTCCAGGTCGAGATTAAGGTAGCTTTGAAATGCAACCAAAAAGGTATCAAGAACTGTCTGTAACAATGAAAATTTTGGTCGTAAGCTTATGCATGGGTCTACCATTTTTTTTTTCGAAAGCTAATGGATCGGGTGAATCTTCACAGCTCTCTCGGGGTTACAGCTCTCTCTCCCTTACGTTTTTCGCCAAAACGATTTGTGACGTTCAAAATGATATGGTTTGCGCCATGGGCGTGTATCAGTACCCCGAAAAAGCGCAACCTGGTCCCAGGTGCTTCTCTGCGGCGCCATTTTGAAAGTAGGGAAACCGCTGAGCTGAGGATTGCCGGGGAATGCCATTTCAGTTCTTAATCCTTCACCAAGTAATAGAGATGATGATAATATGCATTGCTTCACGAAATCGTTTGCCAAGAGCCAAGAGAGAAATCGTCTTCATTTGAGAATAATTAATTTTGTGTTCGAGAAGGGTAGGTTGACCTATTTATTGGAGTAATGACTTTAATGAAAATGGTTCAGATTCATGCTTGAGGATATGAGTTAGCAGGAAGAGATTCCCTTTTAACACGATACCTTTCCAAAACAAACCATCAGTCCTGAAGGTAAATATTGTTTTTCGCCATCGTTTTCTTATATTCAGTAACTAATGACGAAAAGGGTTGTGCGTAAATCTTGCCGTTAGCCGAAGCGAAGCCGAAACGTCTTTTAAAATTATCATTAAAATCATCCAGCCAGCGACAAATAACAACTGCATTCAATGCGATACAACGAAGGTGGATTTGTCGGATGTGGCTGTGTTTACAAGATGATGGTGGTGAAAATACATTTTTATTACGTCGCACAATGTGTACAAAGACTCGCTGAAATGGTCATCGAATTTTTTTTCTACCAAAAGAGAAAACGGTAAGAAATCATGGAAAGTAATTGCGTTAAGCATCATGGGAAGCTGTTACTTACTTTTCGTTGGGTATTATCAACATGTTGAAGTCAATTGGTTGGGTTTGTCTCTGAACTAAGCCACATTTGATTGAGAGATATAGTGTAATAACCCAATTAATGGTTAATAACCCGGCAGTCTTGAGGAAGATAAATCCTGTTTTTTTGCATACCTTGTTTTTTATACATATTCCTAAGGATGATTAAACCATTGCTCATTTTAGTTAACGTACGTGACAGATTGTGCTTTAAAAATATAATTTATTTTGACTGTACAAACTCTTTTCATCCTATGTCAGTAACCACATTCTTCATACCCTTCTCTAGACATACCCTCTAGTAATGACAAGGAGAATTTTCATGACGTTAAAAGCTTCTTGGGCTGGCAATCATTTATTTTACTTAATGAATGATAGGGAGAAATTATGTTAAGTTCAAAAACAAAATTGTGATAAGTCAATTAACACAGAGCCTCAGTTAAAATTCCCAACTTTAAAACAAGTTGCACTTTATTTTTTTTTTCCTTCTCAATATGAGTTCCAACAACAACTCTAACAGGGGAATGGATTGAATTGTCCTCACTGTATCTTTACTCAATGACACAAAAACATGTTAAGAGTGCAGTCTACAGAATGATGGAAACAAAAACACAACTGCATATCTTATGATTGTCAAACAAAGAAACTAACTTACATCTCAAAGTGCCTGTTGTTAAGTTATTCAGTCTATTTTGTGCCCTAGTGCTTTGCTTTTGCTGTGTTGCTAAACGTTGCGACTTACTAAAACTATCACAATACTCTGTTACTTACAAACCATCTGTCTTAATCGCAGTTAGCTGTGATTGTCAAGTAGAAAAGGTTGGCCTCCTTCAAAACTTGGTTGGATATTTGGTATTACAAACAAAACTGGGTATCGAATATAGCTATTGGAAATCCAGTTGCAGTACAGAAACCTCTTAATAAATAAGTAAGAAATAAGCACCAGGTTGTATGCTAAAAATGACATTCACAGCATCAACGACAAAAACAATAGTATTAAAGAATGTTACAATGTTTGATTCACCCTAACAACTGATTTATAAAATTATTTGGTTACGAAGTCTCACTATTGGCCTCTAGGGTAATACACTATTCAATATGATACTGTAGCTACAAATAATTTTAAAATAGTAAAACTCAGTTGTGATCAACATAAATAAGTCTTCAGAAGTTACATTCTTTGTCATCTCCAAAACTTAACACTGTGAAACCCAGAAATCTGTTAACATCTGAATTATTTTTAGAATGTTTATTGTGCTACAACCATTTATGCAAGGGAAAGCAACCCATGAAACAGAAAACTAATAATTGAGGCTGCTTAAAACACACTCAATTCATAATGCATTGGCCTATTAATGAACAAAAAAACATTCCAAAAAGTTTTCCAGTGCTATCAATTTTCTGATTTTTTTAGCTGTACAGTTATTACCAGTATTTTTCAGGTACTGTTGTTGTGAAACTTTTGTGAACTTAAGGTTTGTGTGAAAAAAAAAAAGAAAAAAGCCAGGCTGATATTGGACAAGTTTCTGTAGAGACTTCAAGCTCAACTAGTTTATACTTCATTCTATGACAAAATGTCAATGTCCAAATTAACTTACATTTCTTTGAATCACATAGCATTGATTGTTTGGATACAGAAGTTTCCCTCTTTAAAACCAATTGGAATTAAATAAATTTTCAAATATTGTTGATTAAGTAATTCTTTTTCATTTGTTTGTAATTTGTATCATCACTATAATATATTTGTTGTTTTGCAAAAGAGATGCCTCAAATGTCATGCTCTGAAATGAGATCAGTGAACATAGCCAAACATTATCATTTCTCAGACAAATGACAAAAATCTGAAACCCTCCTCCAGGACAAAATAATTTAGAACATTTTCCCTTTATCAGATTTGTTTGTTTGTTTTTTTTTTTTGGGGAATCAGTACCCATGTTAAAAGGCTGAAAAACCTCGTGCCCTCTCACTGATGTGTAAGTCTTGAAATGTACATTTGAGCCTTTTTTCAAGGCTCTTGTCAAAAGAAACTCCTCACAATTCACCTTTTTTTGGCATGTGTTTTTATTATGATACAGTGAGAGAGGCGGAGGTAGTTAATCTGAAGATCAAAAGTTCCCAGTATTTAAAAAGCCTTTTGAAATGAGCACCTTTAACTGAACTTACCCAACAAATAATAGAGTTAGAGATATTTAGTTAAGAGGTATTCTAATATAGCTCCTCTTTAAATAGTGAATTTGGTTGTCAAATTTTTTTGTAATTCAGTTTTATACTTCTCTCACAAAAGTTCCAGTTCAAAAATGTGTTCAGACAGGAACTGATTCAATTTAGAATGTACCTTTCATGAAGAATAAGAGAGAATTTCCTTACCTAAGTAAAACTACCTTCATGTATTCCCAATTTCATATCACTAATGTCATGAGAAATCAGGTCAATTGGTGAAGAGAATTGATCGTTTGATTTTGGAACCACTCTTGATCTGCCGTTATATTAATAGGATAGAGTTATTTTCAATATCACTAACAGTGTGATTTGCTTTTTTGATTAAAAGCATTGTGTTAGTGCTAAAAATGGATGCCTCTTGATCCCCAAAAAATATATTTTAAAGTAGTTACCTTGTGGTTTATAAAGTGTTTATTTTCTTTATCTCGTCTGTGTTTTCTTAAAATCAAAGCATTGATTTTACCCTTTTTGCACAATACATTGTGCTGAAGTTGTAATTTGAAGTTACTTTTAATAACTATTTTTGATTTGTAGCACTAATTTAAAGTGCTATTCAAGACTTTCTACCTGATGTGAAGAGTACTCCATGGTAGAAGGGACTGATTGAGGAAATGATTGTGACTTACACAACAGTTTCTTTTCCTACAATGACCACTCTTTCTTTTGGGACTGGTGGAGGCTCTTGAGGAGTGTTGGCAATATGTTGTGGAATGCATGCTATACTTCCGCATTCACTTGCTGCAATCTCCTTTGGCATGTCCATATAACGTCTGACAAGTGAAAACACAGAACTACTTAGCTCCCCTTTAAGCTGCAGAACTCTGCTTCTTCTGACATTGATAGTGTCAACTGACACAAGGCATGTCTCTCGCACTGATGAAATGCTATTTGTACTAAGTCCCATGGTGTTACGTTTGTTGTTAACACTGAGAGTAGAAAGGCCATTATTGCTCCCTACGCTACAGAATGACACTGGTCTGTTATCGTCTGTTTCTGGTTCTTCTATGATGACGTCAGGTATTATGGGGTTGTTGTTTTTGCCACTCATTTGTTGCTCCTTTTCCATGATGGCTCTCTTCTCGTCAAGGTGAGATGATTTCTCGTCAAAGTAGGTTGGCTTTTCATTGAACCCACTCTCCTCCATGAGGACAACCTTGCATTTGTTGTCTTCTCTTTCTGGCATGAGGTATGGAATGCCAAACATCATACAGGCTGCAGCAGTTGGCACAGCACCAGCAATGTAGAAGGCAACTTGGTATGAGTTGGATGCATCATAGATGAAGCCTTAAAATGAGGAAAAAAAAATTGCATGCAGTTTCTTCAGCAAAGAAGTGAAATGGGATAAACAGAGTTAACAACTTCTGTAAACTAAGATATTTTTATCACATATTTTTTGAAAGCAAAGCTCTTCTAAATGCAAATTTAAGAGGCGGGGGGGGGGGGGTGATTTGATTGCCGTTTTGTTGTTAGCCTGTTTGAAGGCCATTCTTTTTCCCTTTACATGGTTGTCATAAGGTTGAGCAAAGTAAGATTTTTCTTTGTCTGTACATTTGCTTGTGCAAACTGCAAACTGGACTGCTTGCTTTGTATTTAAAGGGCACACTGTATGTTAACAAGTTATTTTGTTTGGTAATCAGTCCAAGTAATGATAATTTGATAGAAGCAAAGGCACTAACAATTTTATGCATATTATTCCATGGGAAATGCATTTTCTTTTTGTTTCTTCTTCACTTACCAGCAATTGGAGGTCCTAGAGTAAGAGGCACAGACTTGAGGGCAAATAACACACCGACACCATGGGCCATCTTGTCTCTTCCAACAATGTCCCCTGTTAGGACAGGAGCCAGAAGCACATAGCACCCCTCAAAGAAGCCAAACACAGTAGAGTAGATCACTAGCCCAGTGTAGGAGGTCAATACAGGACACAGAGTGTTGCTAATTCCAATCATGAGGAAGGAGATCTGGTAAAGGTACAATCTGTTCACTCTTGGGTAGTCAGCCACCTTGCCAAAAATGAGACGTCCAAGAGTAGATCCAACTGACATGATGCCGATGAGCAGAGTTGCTCTAAATGGGTCGATACCTTCTTCTGTGGCAAGACGCACCTTGGAAAGGTAAGGAGAAAGACACTCTTTTGAGCATTCACAGTTAGTGTATTAAACCTTTCAAGGCTTCTATAATTCTTTTGTAGCGATGTAATTTTTAGTTTGTTTCTTTGAGTGTTAAAGACAAATTCTGGCTTGCTACTGGTATTTACATCACTGAGATGCATTGAGAGAGCAGCATTGAGATAGAATATGTTGTTGTCTGCGGACTAATTTAAGTTTTCAGTATGTGAACCTAGCTAATTTTGTGCGCAGAAGAGCCAAAAATTTATAAAAGCATTCAATTCTTGTGCTGCACACAGATTTAGCTGAATCAAGAATGGGAAGATTTTTTTCGCACACTATAAGTGTATTGGTTAATCCACCTGCATTAATGCTTACCAAGTGCACAAATGGCACAAAGTAACCCAACATCCACAGTGCCAGTGCTGCACACCACAAAATGTATGCCTTGTTCCTGAACAGTTCCTTAAAACTTTTGAGAACAGCAAATCGTGACTGCTTTTGCCCTGCGGCAGGCTTGGGTGGTGGTTTTAGAAAACCAGTGTTTATGGGCCTGTAAATAATAGCACAGAATACTACCAAAGAGAGCATTCCAGCAGAGATCCTCATTGTGTTGCGCATGCCAAAGTGCTGTATTAATTTCTGCATTATAGGACCCATGCAAAGTGTACCTACACCACTTCCTGAGGAAGTGATCCCATTGGCTAAGGAGAGACGCTCTGAAAAGTACTGGCCTAAGATTACCACAGATGGGAAGTAACACATGCTTGCTCCAACACCAAAAAGGAACCCATATGTCAAGTCCATCAGGTAAATACTTGTTGATATTGAACCCAGAAGACAACCTCCTGCGGCAATCATGCAACCAATCATTGTTGTAGCACGACAGCCCAACTTTTGGCACAATGTGGTTGCAATAGGTCCAAGTAAGAACATCATCCCATATGTTATGGAACCAACCCATGCTGTGGAAAGAATTTTTTCAGATTAGTGAAGCCTCATCCTTTTAGTCACAACTTCAATGTCATACGCATTCTTAAGAATTTCCTTTCTATCAGCTGGGCTAATTCAGCTCTCAGTGCTATCAACAGCTGTTTAGGCAAAGGAAATTACTCTCAGCAGGCTTGCTGATCAATCCAGCAAAACAGCATGTGATTTAAGTTTTTAATCACCCAATTTTTTTTCTCCTTGATATGCATGTCTTTTTCTGTCAAGAGGTTTATTGCATGCTTAACCCTTAACCTACCAAGATCTTATTGTCAATTCTCCCCTCTAGCTCCTGCACATTTTCTTGCAAAGTTATTTTGAGGATTTGGCTTACAATTTTGGTCAATAACTTATACCAGATACATGTTAGTTTGAGTATTCTCATTACCTAATTGCTGGATTGTGTATGGATATTATGGGGAGAAGTTACTTGTTAATCACTTATGGGCGGAAAAGGGTTAATATGAATGGGCAGATTTAGCTGGAAGGTTCAATGGGACTGTTTCTAATCCCTCCTCGCCCAGTATTGGTTTCAATGTAACTCTAGGAAAGTGGGATCTTCCTCTAAATTCTAATTTTTTTAATTCACCCATGCTGTGTAATTTGAAATCGCGAGGTGATTTTGGCGTTAAAGAGCAGACAAAGCAATGATTGGATTACTACCCTGTCACTCAATTTTTGTTGAGGTAGATGACATTAAAAGAAAAACAGAGCTTTTGCATCATGAGGGAATGAATTTGGGATTGCCTTTCGCTCAACACGGAATCATTAAAATCGAATTTTCATTCAATAATTTTAGCCTGAGATTAAATCTGTTTTTGTACAAGGAATGAATGAGGAACTTTCGGTGTTTACAGAAAAAAAACTTTGATCTAGAACTCTGTTTAATCCCTTGTTCTGCCAAGAAGCAAAAAAAATATTTTAAATGCCATAAACAATCTGCACAAATCAACATAAGTTTTAAGTAATCAAGCCAGCATCAAGCCCCTGGAAACGCCATTAAATTTTAAGGTACGCAGCATTTATTTACTGCTTTTGCTTAACGAAAAACAAATTTACTTTTTCACCATGAATTATCAACACCTTACTTTTTTTTTTTAAAATAAATGTAGTGTAGAGATAAGAAAATGCTAGCAGACTTCATTTCGTGCGGTAAAAGGGAGACTTATTTCAAGAAGACTTGACTTCTGTCTATCCAATTCACAGGCTGCTTTCAAAGTAAATAGACACAGTCTTGGTTTTCAACAAAAATATCCCGGGGTCTGAGTCGCGTGTTCTGGCCAAAATCTGTCACACGTATTTATCAAGGATTTTTAACGAGCTTGAGAAGGAGGACAACAAGCGAGGCAAGTGGATAGCTTTAGTGGAAAAGGTTGTAAAAGCATAATTTCGCGCAGAAAAGTGGATCGTTGTGATTTTTCTCGCGCGTAATGACGCGCTTCCGGCCGGTGAGCGCCACGCGTCAAGGATTTGAACTGACCACCTCGCAAACCCCTGCTGCAAACCGCAAAACGAAAAACTTTCTCGGCGTCGATTTGTGCGTTTGTGCTCACTTTATAAGAATATGAAATCAAAGGTTTCAAAATCTCAAAAGACTGGCTGAGACGCTACATTAGTCGAAACTATCCAAATAAATTTGTTATGTTTCACAAATTCTTCCCAAATTCGCAGGAAACACATGCCTCGATGAATGCCGTGGCCAAAAAAATCGACACTAAATGGTTCAGATTATGACACTCTGTTAGCGTGAACTGCGTTTAGGTGCGAATCTTTTGCAAATAAGATTTTAAAAAAAAATTCAAGAGAATCTTGCTTCGGCAAAGTAGGGTTCAACCCTCTGTTCTTTCCTCGAACCCTGTAGACCGTCAACGCTCTTCATGAATATGCTCAAACAAATATTTTCCTCAAGGTTCATTAGTAACAACATCAGCTTAAGAAGATATGATTTAAGCATTAATTAAAGAGCATTTCAACATATCATGGAGTTCGCTGTCTCGATTCTCACTCAGAGAAAAAAATTATCTCAAAAAGCGCTTATAAGAAGCTTCAAGTTGCGTTTGTCAGCATGTTCGTTTTCCTGTTCGGGATTTTTATTTTCCAACTCAGGTTTAATTAACTATGCGTAAGGGAAAACCACGAACCAAAAATTAATCACAATCAAGTTATTTCCTGTGGAACTGTTTCTTTTCACGCAGGAATGGAAGACGAACTTCATTTGAGGTGCCACTCCATTGTTAATATAAATTGCACCATTAAACAAAAATGTTTTTCTTACTTTTCTCGTAAACAGGGCAAGCTGTATTCGGCTCTCTATTTGTTATTTTGCATTTTGAATGTTTCCGTGCTTCGTTAAGCCTCTGAATCATGGCAGGTTTAAGCCACCTACCGAGTTATTTTTTGCTCAGCGCTTATTGCGAAAGCGGAATAACCATTTCCTTAGTATCTCTAATCACCATTTTTTATTGCGCTCAGTGCCTGTGAAACGGAAACTTCGCTTGAGGCCCACTTCGATGTAGTTTTCTTCTCTTCGAGACGGACAATATCCTAGCCCGGAATTTGGTTTTAATTAGCGGTGAACCTAGCGTTGTGTGGATTTTGTAATGTTTATGAATAAGAGGTAAAACTTTCTCGTAGGTAAACGAAACAACTTCTCGATTGATTTCCTATGCCCTTCCGAAGTTCACTGTCTAAAAGAACGATTGACAAGTATCGCCACTGCGCTATTTATATCTAGGAAATCCGAGCCTTTTAATCTCTTGTTAACTTAGGGTTATCAGAGGAAGAGATAAGCTAAGGTTATGATTGACAGTATTCTTAGGTAAAAGAATCTTAAAATGTAGTTTTGACAAGGAAAGTTTGTGTGTGCGAAAGAGTTTCCCTGAAGCTAATTTCGTCAACAAAAGATGTCGATTTAGCGTGAAATTGAATAGGTTTAACATTTGTAATAACATTGTAAAAGAGGCTATTCAGTGAGTTTATTGTATGAAACTACGTCAATGGCTTGACTTAGGCGTCTTTAAATTGTTTTCTTGACTGTTTTGTACAAGGTAAGCAGAGTTTGAGAACTATTGTTCAAACGAAAAAAAAAAACAATGGTCTTGACAAATGACAAGACCTATTGAATGCAAATGAATCCTTTTCAACTTGGCCAGTACAATGAAAATATTGACAGAGGTTTTTTCTTTATTTGTAGCAACAAAATCTTAAACAAAATCTACACCAGCTAGGAATTTCACATTGGAAGACCAAAACGAAAGTTCTTGTAACGAAACTCATCGGCAGTGCAATCAATTGTGGGTGTGTTGGGGGACCGGTTTTGACGTAATGGAAAACCCCTAAAAATCATGCAGTTTTAATCAAAGCTTTCCGATTGGACGATAATCAAGAAAAACAGGTTTTTGACGACACTTTGACATCTACTGTCACATGTAACAATGGGGAGCTAATTCGATGGAAGAAGATAAAAATTTTCGTGAGGCTCAGCTGAGAATCTAACAGAATTGCCGCACATCTTGTTATAAGGAGGACTCAGGAACATGAGATATCGGAGTTGCAAAGCACAGTCATACGCAAGAAGGGTCGAACTTGTCGAAATACAAGGAAAGGGGGAGTATTTTCAAAACCTTCTGAATGACCTCCGAAAGTTTCTCTTTTCCGCTTTAGTCGAACCGCGACTAGAATGCCGATTATTTTCAAAATCGTTTTAACAGCTGATATCAAAGTTTCCCCACAGGAAAGTATAGGTAAAGATTTTCACCGGTTAGCGCATCACTTCGGCAAACGAGTCGCTGAAGACTTAATTTATCAGGTCCTTCGCGGGTCTCGATAGCAAGAGTTGCTCGACTAGCAAACAGCGTGATAAATTCTCAGTAATATTGCAACATGCATAAAGCGTTAGCTTCAAGATCTATCTTTTTTTCTACGCCGAAACTGTCAAATCGTTCAGGTAACAGTTATAAGCAATTTAAGTTCAGCGTAAGATATTTAAAATATCAAACAATAAGAAACTCATTTGCATCTTGTTTTTGTCACAGCAGAATTTAAAATAGAAGGTACGAAAAAAAAAATCTCCGTTACCTGCATCAGCTTTTCCAGTCTTGAACTCGTTTAGTAGCTCCACATACACCACCCCGAAGTTGTTCATAGTGCCGAGAACGATGAATTGCGTAGTGAACGTGGCCATGCAAACAAGCCACCCCCAGCCACCGTCAGGAAACGGTACAGTTATTTCAGGTTTATCCTCCATTGGTTTCTTCTTGCAGCAAACCATTTCTACGAAAATTCTTTTTTCGTCCCCTAAGCGCTCTTATTTCGTAGATCTCCAATTGGCTAGGACGTGTCTTTGTGCTGATCGGGTTCAGCGCACCGGTCGATAGGTTTTTCACAGCCCTTGAACTTATTAAAGATGTTACCTTGACCCGTGGATGGAATCGAGTGGCAGGGATTGTGCTGAGCCGCTCTGCTGTGCAGATATGAGTTCATTATTTGGGGAAATGACGTTTGTGTATCAAGCTGACATTTCCTGGCGCTGATTGGCTAATGCCACGTGTTTACCACAAATAAAAAAACACAAAACTCCACCGCTGATTAGGAGTGAATTCTCCTTACTCTAACAAAGCACGATCTGATATCAGCTGTCACGCCGTGACAACAGCTCATGTGACCTCAGCAGAGATTTGCATGACAAGGCTACAGTTTAACCTTTCAAACAACAGTCTATTTTTTTTTTTTCAGTGCTAATTAATTTTTCTACTGAGAGCGGCCATGAGAAAAGCTCTCTCTGTTCTTGTTGCTCTGCTTTGAAAGTTATCAGAATAAACACGATCAAACGCACGATATCGAATTGTCCATTTCCGGCACGTGAAACGAACATGTTATGTAATGACCTTTGGGTCAGTAATTTCAGAGCTAACTGAAAAAGCCTCTTGTGTTTGAAGCTTTTTGTGTTGGCGAATCATGAATTGTTTTTCACGTATGCAAATGGCCTCACGCTCGAACGCCTTTGAAGGCGCAGAAAGAACGTCAGTTGCTGTTCGGCACTCTTAAGTCAGTCACTTGTTCTGCAAAAATCCAAATCATCGAGAGGGTTTAATCTGCTGGTCAAGTTTCAGGGGGCGAAACCGGTGTAGATTGAGGATTGAAGGCTCTCAATGTGGACAGGGCCTTAAGCCTTCAGATTTTACGTGGTCAAATACAAAATTTAATGCCGGCTTCCCACTTTTTATCATGCTCAAATGGGCATGACATCTAATAAAAATATATTGGATGATGCAATTTTGATTCAAGGCGAATTGCTATTTTTTGATCAGGAATATTCTAGTTTGACCAGTCAAGTGTAAAGCTGTGGACCCCTATCTGCTATGCGTGGAAAATTATTTTAGATGCCTACGACTTATTTATTGGGGCCAAACTGCGACTTGATCAATTTCTAATGTAACGACGACAGATAAAGCGGTGGGGGACTTTTAGCCCGTAAGACACTCTGTACAAACAGACACTTGAACTCCCAAAGATGAGATAACGTGCAGGTGAAAATAGATCTCACAAAACACGAATCGTTTGTCAAAACAACCCTAAAAAATATGTCCTTTCCTTTTTTTTCCTTTCTTCCTACTTAAAGTAAAACTTGCTTTAGATGAAACTTCTTTGATTGCCCGCCTAAACTCGCAAGGAGAAACGGGAACAAGTCAATAGTTTTTTCCAGGCCTGAGTAAGGCTAAGCTTTCGGTTGCTTTTATGGTGCTGTCATGTGATTTTTGTGTGATTGAACGCCCTGTTCACCTACGCATTTTGTGGTATCCACGTATAGTCATTCGTACTTTGAGTACGCTTATAATTAGAGTATAACGTAAATTACGTAATTTAGGCATTTTTACTTATGAGAGCAGTACAATACATCCTCGACTTGCTATGGTGGAATTCTTTCTCTAACTATCTGTGCCGAACTATTTTTTTTGTCTGCACCGCGTGGGCTGGCTTCATGTAACTCCATCCCGTTGTATTTGCCCCCCAAAAATCAATTAATAATTTTGAAAAGATCGTTAAAAAGTTGTTAGGGAAGCTACCGCTTTTTGTTTCCCGACTACCAATTTGTACATTTGCTACGTTGTACATGTACGTCTTCTTACGAGAAGAACAGCAGGGGAAGAGAGGGAGGGGTGCTCTCTTTGTCAGTTTGCGTTCAGAACACGTAGAAAGGGAGGCGAGCAAATTGCGTAAGAGTTTGCGGCTTTTTTCCCAAACGCTTTGTAGACTTTGAGACATCTGCATGAAGAAAACACTCTTGGCCAGTTGTTCAAAGGAAGGATAGCATTATCCGGCGGATAAATCGGTATCCGGCGAACAGTTCTGAACAAAACATGCTGCGCCATCCATCGGATAGAGATTTTAACAAGTAGTTAGTGTTATCCACCCTGTGAACAACTGGAACCTGTTAGACAGTAAATGACGAATGAAGAGGAAGGAAGCGTATAAACGAAATTCCCTTTAGGATGGAGATTAGCTCGTTATAACCCCGATCCTGACTATTGGTAAGTAACTCAGGAAATCATCGATAGTTAAGATTTACGGACAGATTATATTTTTATTTTCAGAAAAGGGATTTACTGTTTTTCCATTTTTTGAGTCACGAATCAGAAGGGCCGTGATGAACTTTGTACAGGCTTTTCTGGTCCTTCAGTGTCAGAACGGGTTGAAGCCAATGAGGAGAGCAATTTTCTCATCACTCCCTCCCCTCCCCTCTCACCCTGGGAACACACTGATTCCTTGAATCACAAGCTTTTGCAACCAAGCAGAAGTCGTCGTAAGATTATATTTTCTTTTCCTCAACAGAGCCGCTATTCTTTCACTCTCGCTCAGCAAAACTCTGTTGAATATACTCACGGTATGCTTTTCCGGCTCCGGAAAAATATGTGACCTTTTTGTAAAATTTTGTCATCGCTTCACGTTTTGCTGTTCGTCGATGCATACCTGCGTCATAATACTTTTACAGAGGATTTTTGAGTAGTTCCTTTTCAATACGATTTCCTGCTCAATTTTTTTTCGGCAGCATTTCTCAATACCTCCACGCAAGTATGCCTGGTTCAAGTATACTTGGTTCGAAATCCAAAGCATGGAATAACTCATTAAAGATTAGTAATATTTGCTTGTACTTAATATTTGGTCGTTAAAGTTTAAATTATTAAACCGGAAGAAAAGCGGGCAGAGTGGTTTGCCAGAATACTCTCGAATGAAGGCCAAGGTGGTCAATGTAAGAGTCAAACGGAAATTATTAACATGCGAAAATTAAAGGTTGAGGCCACAATTGTCATCGGTGAATTGAGAAAGATGCCTCAATTGTCTTAATCAGTGACGTCCGGTTTCCTTGTTTCGTTGGAGGGGAAATTCATTCCTTTACGATTATATACCTTGCATATCAGATTGGATAACCTTCTAGGACAATTCCCTTTGTTGTTCTGGGCTTAGGCAAGTCTCATCTTGCAGTTTGACTCGTAACCGAGATGTCCAGCTCAAGATGAGCTGAAACTGGCTTCATTTTCACTTTTCATTTTGATCGAAACCTTTAAGCCAAATTACGATCGGATGCTCAGCCGGCTCCTGCTTGTATCTCTTCAGTGTCACGACAGAACAACACTGATAACCGGAAGGCATGTCTTTCCACTTTCAACTAAATGCCATTTTATGAGATGGTTTCCCTTTGCAAAGAGGAAATCTCTAAATAAAATTTTAATTCATCGTTTTGTTAAGTTTGCATGATTGAGTATTTTGGAGAGCCGAACTGTGTGTTTGAGAATAACATACTTACCCACCCCACCTCGAATGATATCCCGTTCGCGTGCGTGAGGCCAGACGCGGCTGTCAGGCTTAACTGTTTGCGTGTACCCGCAATTGACCTTTCAGGTTAGAAACCTGGGAATGCATAGTGGGTCGATTATTTCAGGTTTGTTTAGGGTATAATTACAAGATCACGTTGGGAGCTTGCAGGTGGAGTGACTTATTTCATCCAATCAAAACTGCAAGCTATGTTATGTTAGTTTTCCTTTACTTTTTGGACACATTTTTGTAAATCAGGAGAGCAGAATGTTAATGTCTTCATGAATACGGTTCTTTTGGCTATTTTTAGACTCGAGAGTTTATATGACAATCTCTGCTGTTGGTGCAATTAGACGGTGAAGGTGGTCTAAAGTAAAGGAAACGGGGATTGCTTAGTTTTCGTCACCAAGGACCAACCGTCGATTTCCTGCTTTGATCAAAACTTTTGAGGCAGCTTAAATAAAACGGCACTGAAGTTATTTTAGTTTCTTAATCTTTTGAGAAATAAATTTATCAAGTAGTTAACTATGCCTCTAAGGTTACTCGCATGAGTTGCAGTTTGAAATTTTAGTGAGCCAACATGGCAGATTTGCTATGGATGAGGGACAAGGAAACTTTCAGTGTGAAGCGCAATCTTCCTGATTTCCTCGTTGGGACAGGTCCTCGCGCTGGTCTCATTAGCAGCCATATTGGAACGTAATTTTGGATGTCACGCAACGCTCTTTCGAGTAAATGTTGCGTTACATCACGCAAAGCCGCTGCGTAGGGGACTCTGTTCGCTCACGAGTTTAGATTTCTATCTTCCTCCCCTTATTTGCTTGTAACGCAAGCTAGATTAAGATGTCAAAAAGAGTAGATGTACAAAAATGGAAATTCAAGTCAGGGTGTGATTGTTTATGGCTATTAGACTGAAAAAAAGGAACAAAGGGTAAGATGGCATCAGGTGTAAACTTCGAGCTTCGAACTTCACATTTCCCGGAAAGTTATGGAGGGATAAAGTTGTGTGCAGCTTTCTTTACAGCCGTTGAAATGAAGCTTCCACCACACGCGATTATTTGCCTAGTGAAGCTTTAATTATAAGTTATGTCAGTGCACAGCCCGATATGTTTGGGATAACAAACTGAAAATCTCTACCTCGATCTCTCTTATCAGGGTCACTTAACATTTTGATTGTAGTGTAGAGATAAAAACGCGCTTGTAGGTCGACATTAACTGAAACACAAATTCACGTTGCCTTATCAGTGAGATCTCAGAATGCGCGAAGAAAAAGGAAAACAAAAGTTAACCCCTTAATTCCTAAGAGTGACTGGCATCTAATTTCTCCTTACCATATCACCCCTGAATCGAAGGTTAAGGTCAGGAGAATAAAGGAGCTGATCACCGACTAAAGGAGTTCTTGATTGTTAGACAAATTCTCCATGTCGGCATCTTAGGAAATGTCTAGAGGATAGTTTGGAGAATATTCATGATGATTTTAGGGTGAAAAGGGTTGAAATTGGTGCCCTCAAAAACGTGCAGCGATCCTGGAGGTTGTAAGGTCAGTTATGATATTTCCTGTAAAATGCTGAGTAAGATAATCCATCATAAACATTTCCGGTCACCAAAGGGGAGTTTTTCATTAATGTCGTGTGGTGATACTTTGAAGAATTGTGAATTCATACTCTACAGAGCCAACACAATCATAAACTGGACCAAAAAAATTGGGTTTTTTACACTTCTCTTTGAGATTTTCCTGTGAAAGTGTAAATTTTTATCCAAGAGGAAACCCAAAGATACAGGACTGAGTTGAAGGTGGTCTTGACGTAGGAGTCAAAGGCATCACTTCAAGACATGCCGACAGTGTATTTGAGACCTTAGTAAGACCCCGTTTGATATGGATCTGAAGGAATTAAAAGAGAATTAAAGAGCTATGTATACACTAGCACTGGGGCCTCAAAGAGGTCAAGTTATTTTTAGGCTAGCTGCAGAAGGTGGCCTTTTTAAGGGAGAAATGTGACTGTAATATTAATAAGGTAGCAAAACAGTATGGATATACTACGTCGTGGTGGTGACTTGTCCAATTGTACAATTTTCAATAAAAGGTTAAATTGTTTAAAAGTTCGACAAGGGAAATGATAAAGTAAAATAGGATAGAATATAATCGCTTTTTTTTCGATCGACTTCTTGAACTCTTAGCTGTAGATTGTGTCACTGTCTCACGTCTTAAAATAAACTTTCAATTTCCATGTCAAATTCCTGTTCATCAGATCGCACGTATTTTCATGTCAAATTCCAATTTTCATGTTAAATTCTTGTTTTTCAGATTGCACGTATTTTCAAGTAGTTAAGAAGACTGATGATGTTTGTCCGGATGTTTACGTCTTTTCCTCTTCAAGGGACGTGGCCTCAGTCTTGTACATTCAAGTTCGGAGCAACTCCATCAAAACGTCAGCATTACCATGGAAACCATTTTCTAATCAGGATGCAGGAAAGGGAACAACAAGTTTGATTCCCTGGTAACTAGTGGCAAGTCATGACACACCAACGCGATTAGATGATAAAATTTTCTAACTAGAACGCTCGTCTGCAACATTTATAGCCGAACCCAATGCAAGTGCGCTGATCTTTACTCATTACTCAGGCGGTCAGTTGGAGGCTTGAGTTACATGTCGGTTCTTTCACTTATCGCGGTTAAGACTCTAAAGCGCATGCGTGAGGAACCATGTGAAAACGGTATGAAAGGCATAACGTCTTTCACAGGCTCTTCAAATCTTTTTCACGTGCCATTCACATGCATGTTGAATTCACCGGCATGAACGTCAAGTGCCTGAGTACACGCTGATACGCGTCTAGTTGTTATATAGCGAAATGCAAAGTTCCCACCGATCGCGATTAATCCCCTTGAAGTTATTGGAAATATCATTATTAATCAATTTGGCGCCTTCGTTCCAATAAGCGCCCTCCTCTTATTCTAAGGAGCGCCCCAGTTGCATAAGCACCCTCTTTCTAAAGAGCGCCCCTATTCCAATAATACAGTGATGGCACTGTAAAAGTACCTGTACATTAAGATCAACCATGTTCATCTTCCTTAAATCGCTCATTTGAAGCCTCATCACAAAAGCGATTCTCACAGGCGATTCTCAAAATTCCCTACCAATATTAGGTGAATATTCACTTCAGTCTCTTTGTTACCTTTACAGTCTCTGTTATTGTTCCTTTGTAAATAAACAATAAAGCTTTGTTACGCACATTCTGCTGCTTCTCAAAAAAAAAAACATATTGTGTGAGGCAGATATTCAGGTGGTCCAGTGAGGTGGTTTGACATTTGTAAAAGCACTTTAATTCCTTCATTTAGCTCGTCTGGTGACTAATAATTATTAAAAAAATAAAGCATCACATGTCATATACTTCTCTCGTGATAGTCCATTAAGGTGATTCCTCAAAAAAAAAAATTATCGGAACAATTTCTTTCCAACTTTCCTTAAATATTCCTTTTCAATGTCTGCTTCGAAAAATACAATAAAAAGAGCAGGTCACCACACTTGTTTATGAGATATGGTGGGCCAAACTTTCCCCATTTATGCCTGTACTGGCACTAATCACGCGCGTCATTTCGGTTAACGGTACATTTTGCTGCAGCTGGAAGCAAGGGTTTTTTAAGTAACACTTGAAAAAACTTGATAAGTAGAAAGTTTCTAGCGTATGGAACAATTTGATGTATAATTTGTGGGAAAATCAAGCAAATTGGACTGAAAACGTCCCTCGAGTCGTTCCTGTCATGGTCATAATTTGCATCCTCGAGTAACGGGCTTCGTGCACGCTTCTAGCTTTATCTTTTTCCCCAATTTAAAGGGGATAATTTGAACACCAAAGTTATGCAATAAAAAATATAGGTCACTGTTCTCGTTCAAGAGCTAAGGATCTTCATACCTCTTTACTTTGTCTGTTTATCGAGAAACAACACCGTGTTCTTGGAATGTGCGCGCGCTTAATCGTCTAATTAGGTGATTTTTATGCCCAGTGCTGGATGCGCGGTGCAATACTGAGGAATCACCTTAATTATTAAAGTAATTGATTGTTAGATAATAGTTAACTAAATAGATTGGAGTTCTACTATTGTCCTCACAGTCTTATATTCTGTCTCTATGATTAAAACTAAACTAGCCTACCCCAGGCTCTCAGTGTGAGCAGACGAACGAAAAGTGGGAGTGTGACAAACGGTGATTACTTTACATGAAGCTCAAGCACAATCGGGACAGGCCTATTTATCGCTTAATAGAAAATGTTCATTTCCATGGCAAACACTCTTTGGGTATAATGGCTCCATGGAATCGCCATAAGTAGCACACTTAAGGCGAGTAACACGTCTTCTTTATACTCTCATGTTTAAACGCATGTTCCTTTTCGAAAGGAACGATTGTCTTGGAAAAGTTCTCCACATTTATGTCGACTCTCAGTTATGTGATTCTCTCCATCATTTCTCCAAAAGTAACTGACATACATTTTTTTTTCATCAAACCTTGTGATTAAACGTCTCGATTGAACCGAATTATTAGGGCCATATTAGGAATAGCGGCGGAAAATCCTCCGTGGAAGGCTGACGTCTCAGAGGACGACAGCAGTATGTCTTCCATCTTCACGCCAACCTAGTGGGAAGTAATTTCCCATCCCTGTCGGTATGATTTACTGATTCCCTCCAGTACCATTCCAATTTCACATCATTGGCATCCCATTGCCTTCCACTATGATTTTGATAAACATAGTGTCATCTCGAACATATCCTCTGGTTCTTAACAGGCTATGGGAACAAAAAAGAGGGCAGCCGGAGGCGATGTTCATCTCCGAACGCGGTCGCTGAAAGCTCGAGCTGTTTGGATCCGGTCGGAATGTCTCAATAATGTGCGATAGACGCTCTTGATCCACCAGCTTCATAGTGACTTTATGCTGGAACGGCCACGTTAACAGAGCATCATACTCTCCCCTCATTAAGACGATGAAGAGGGATAGGTACTTTCCTTTCCCCATTGGCCCATCGCCGTTGAGGTAAGCGCGTGCGCAAAGCTTGTATCCGTAGCGCGAAGTATAAAATGGCGGGCTGTATATGGAGATTGTCCTCCCCTCCACGGATTCCCGAAATCTGCGCTGATAGTTGTCAATCTTCCATAGGAAACAGCCATCGTAGCACGTGGTCTCCATTATCTGTAGTTTAAGGTCTTGATCGGCTAGTTTTATTTCGTGCAAAGCTATGGAGTGTTCCACATTTCCAAATCGATGATCATCCCTGCCGGATTCTAAGTTCCCTGGTTGTGTGCGTGATCCCGTGGCACCAAACCTTGCTACCTCTTCCGCTAGTAGCGCCAATCTTTCGTCTTGGAAATTTATACGCCTCATTACTTCTTCACTAGCATGCTTGCTTTCTTTTGCCTGGACCAATGCTTCGACGCTTTTGCGAAGTTCATCCATGTTTTTCCTCTGAGAATCCACATTCTCTTCAACTCTTGCGAGCTTGACTTGATGCGTAGAGAGTGTCTGTTTATTCAAAGCCAGGGCTTCCGATTGTAATGCTAAGCGCGCCTCGTAAGTTTTGATTAACTCTTGGGAGGCTTTCAGCTGTTCTTGAAAGATTTTCATTTCCTCTTGTGTTTTCTCGTTGTTTTTGGCCATGAGAGTCAAGTGCTCCGTGGCATGAGAGCGGATATGTTCTTCTAAAGAATCCCTACAGTTGTGAAAAGTGCAGCCTACGAAACTGAAGTTACACTGCACAGGAGCTCGGGGGCATGATTTGGAGTGTTCTTTAAGGTCTTCCCTGGGAATGTCACTCCTATCGCAGCCATAGGAACACTTCACCGGGAACTTCTTACAATCCTCTAAATGTTCCCTCATTTTAATCCCTGGGTATCCATCCTGGCAATAAGGGCACTCCACGACCTTGTACAGACAATCATTTTCGACATGTTTAGCTAATTGGTATCGCAAAATAACCACAGTACACCCCAGATGACTGTAAATGCATTTCACTTCCGAAAAAGAACACTCGGCAAGGTGAGCTTGTAATTTAGCCAACTTCCCACACCATGGACAACCGAGCGATTTCTTCGGGCAAAAGCATTCCAATGAAAGGATTTCTTTTTGTGCGTATTTATCCCTGAATATCAAATTCCATTGTAGGGGCTCTTTATCGTCTGGACATTTTGGGTCGCTTGGTTCCCTCTTGAAAATATCCTCCAAGCACGACCAACAGAACCTACAACAATAGGGAACAAGGAGAGCTACTTAACATATTTGATAAGAACGAGAGGTAAAATTAAAATAAATATCCCCATTTTACTATCATCATAACCCCATCATCGACAAGGGAGCAAACCGAGCGAAGTTGCCGGTTTAAGGGATTGGAACGAGACGTGCGCACTACTGTCTGTCTGTTGATAATTTCATGCTTTATTCTTGGACTAAAAAACGAAATTTCTGCAAGTCGACTCAGCGTTTCACGCTAGATTAAAAAAGGGCTCTAAATATGAGGTCAAATTAAGCAGTTTCTTTTCTGTTTGGTCATCGATGTCTCTAGGAGAAAAATTTTAGGAACCTTACGCACGCACTTCAACGAAGAGGGACAAAGTTTGATCGACTCTTGGTTACCAGGCTAAGCGCACGTAGTTCTGCACAGAACGCAATTTAAAAACCAGCGTTTGATTTGTCATGGCTAAGAAGTGTGGCGTGCGTATGCATTCATTTAGTCGAAGAAGGACGGTTCTGCTTGGATGAACTAAGTCAATATTCCTTAGTCGCTTAGTGCTCAAATTTAATCGATTTCAACAAAGGCCACGTATTCGCTGCTAAGCAAAGTTGCGCTCGGCGTGGTCTTCGTGATCTTCGCAGCTATTGAAAACTAAGCCCTTCTTCCGCGTAGGATGAACATCAGTGACATCAGTAATCTTGCCCACTCATTTGATGTAACTTAACTAACAATAGAACTGACTTTACTATGTTGGTATTTCGCAATAAGTGCGATTAAATACTAGATATTTTTTTTACACACTTCGAAGCGATTTTTTTGTTCTCTTAACTCTTGGTTTTCTTTGCTATGAACCCTCCTGATTGAATGAGTGACAATGCTTAACAGTCAAAAACTCTACGACTATTACGGGGTAAAATCAGAGAGAAGTAGGAGTTGAGGAAATTTCCTTCATCGGCAAAATAACGAGGAACACGAATTTTTGCAACACTTATGTTCACGAGAACACGCAAGCTTAAAAACCACGTCAGCCCAGTAGATTTGATCAGTAGCTGTGCTCTGGGTTTGCGCACATCTCAAAGAACCTTCTCCGTTTAATTTTTAAAATCTTAAGTCGAATGGGCGAGTCATACGATCAACCGACCGATTCGTTATATCCATAATTAGTTTCGCTAGTAATTCTGTTTTGAGTTTAAGACTCGACCGTTGTATCGATTGGTGAAATACCCTTTCTGCGGAAATTACTTATTTCACCAACCTGTCACCCAAATGAGTAGCGATATAGTTGCCGTTTTGATATAACTTTGAAAAGCGGTGAGTCACTGCGTAGCAAACGACTTCCGCTCGCTCTAGAAACTTCTACGTCTAGCTTACCTGTGTCCACAAGACGACTGAGCAGGATCTTTCAAGACATTATCACAACTTATACACTTATAACGTTCTTCGAGTTGTCTGACAAATTCAACATCAGATGGCACTATTTCCATGCGTTTTTGACGGTGTTATAGCAGTCAATTTTAAGGATCCCACCAACGTCCGTTGAAGCTTAAAGCGAAGGTGCTGATCGAAGCACATTTGTCGATAGTGCTGCGAAGGCAGATTAGAAAAGGGGAATCCCCTAGTCACCTGATAAACTTGACTTCACTTTCGCCCCAGGCCGCAATCATAGTCCGGATTTGGGCCCTCGTGACTGATAACGAATGCAAGCACGGACACGTAAGGCGATGAAAATTTATCCTGAAATTATTCTATATTTAGCCCTTCTATGATATGCTTACTTTTTTTAGCTTCTCTTCTTCCTTGCCTCTGTTCTGTGACAGGAAAGGGGAAGCTTCAAGGTTGATTGAACAATCAGGGTTCCTAATTAGCCTCTCGATGAATTAAGAGAACTTTGATCCCCCCATTGAAACTACACCTTTAGGGAAGGTACGTTTTTTCTTGGGGGGGGGGGAGGGCTGGGGAATTTTGGTATTTTTTCCAAAAGAAAGTGTTGGCCCTCCCTCATGTTTTGATTAAAAAACTCCTGACCCCCCCCACTTTTAGGTGACTGACAAAAGTGTGACCCTCCCCTCACTACCAAATGGTATGCTCCATGCCATAGAAACCTCAGAGCATTTTTCGACATTTTGCTTGTATTTTGCTTTGGAGCTACTACAAAAGGCTAAACAATGAGTTGAAAGAGTTTTCTT